TTACAGCTTTCTGGTGCACAAAATTTGATAAACTTTTGGGATTTTTTAAAGTATACCTAAGTAAATGCAAAAATGCATAAAAAAGTTTTCTTGCAATTTGTTGGACTAGACTGGTCTAGATTGTCTTCTGGAATTGAAATTAAAGTTTTCATCGCCAAAGTCTGATGTATGTGGTATTTGTAAGCTGTTCAAAATCGGTAATATTGGTGGTTTTTAGTGTCTGGAATTTAAAACTTGGTATACTATGAAGGCTTCAGCATTTACAGATGGACACGATGGTTATGGATATTGAACACGTCATATTAGTGTAACGGCTGTCAAACATAATAATCTTACTCGCTCAGCCGTCCCAGATTATTGCTAATAAATTCATTTTCATTCATGAAGTTGATTTTTGATTTATAAATAATTAATTATATTGTACTATGAAAATGGAAGCCCATGTCAATAACCGTTGTAAAGTTGTTATTACCATATACGCACTGTTGGCAAAATCAAAAAGTTTGCTACTCCAGATGCAACTAGATCTTTAGTCAGTTCATATACTGTATAACTTCCAGGCTCGATAATTGTAATCCACTATTCACAGGCCCTCCACTTAAACTCGTCGATTAACATCAAAACTAAAGGTACAAAACTCGGCGGTACGATTAATTTCTCGAAGAAAATGCTCGTTTGATAAAACTCTCGGGTAATCCACCAGAACTAACGCGATATTTGACATTCTCTCGAACTTGGACCCCCGCTGCCCAAATTTCCTGAACACTCCAGTCACAGAGACGAGAATTAAATGTAGAATCAATGGGTAAAGTGATAGCCATATAGTACTCCATATACTTAACATTAATAACATATTTAATCCGGTTTGTCACGCTCCCTTCGAGCGAAGAAGTACCACGTGTTTGGTACCGTTAAAAAAGGCCGCCATCTTTGCTTCTAGGTGATCAACATTATGTTAATGTCAGCGTCGTGGGAATTGTCTTTGACACCCCGCGAACGAGAATTTCCTTTATTTGCATAAATTATTCATGACGACCGAGGTCAGAGTCATGCCGTAATCTGATTGATCAAAAGTCATTTAAATTATTAGAACACGGCTATTGATCTTGACGGATGAACTCGACGATCTCGATTAAATTCGACTGCTACCGAGTTGTTATCGTGATTTATAGTGGGTTATTTTTGGTAATAACGTAATTAACAATCTGCTATGGGAAAAGTAAATTTAGAACATTGAATAATTTTACAATATAAAGCCTATTACTATAGTTCGTTGTACAAGCGGTGGAAGGAAAAGAAAAACAGATCAATTTCAAAACAATAACAATGCAATCCATGACGAGCTCAATAACGTTGCAGTATTTATGGCAGTAATTAAATACAATTTAGTGAAACCGGTATGCAAGTCAATAGTACATGGAGTAGGGGACTTGAATTTAATTTTAAAAAATCGACATTTTTTTGTCGTAATCGTGAAGAAACTATTTCCAGCCGAACTACATCGAATATATTAAACTAGGCCTATATCATTTTTTTTTTTCTAGCATGAATATCACACAACCCCTTAGTCTAAATTCATAGCAATCCATTGATAAAGCATCAGTAGGGGCAGCTCATGAAAATATGCTAAAAGCAACAAAAATAATTAAAATACAAAAGCCCGAAAAGGAAACTACCATTAGTTTTGATGGCACGTGGCATAAAAGTGGTCATTCATCACATCATGGGGCTGCGACAGCAATTTACTTAGATACAGGTCTTGTAGTTGATACACATGAAGTGTCTAATGTTTGTCATCGATGATGAGTCATTCATCACATCATGGGGCTGCGACAGCAATTTACTTAGATACAGTTCTTAAAGTTGATACACATGTTGTGTCTAATGTTTGTCATCGATGATGAGTCTAACATCCCTGATGAAGAACTTGGATTATGGGAAAAATCATATGTGTCAAAAAGATTTTGATGGCTCTGTTAATGCAATGGAGGTAGAATGTGTCTAATGTTTGTCATCGATGATGAGTCTAACATCCCTGATGAAGAACTTGGATTATGGGAAAAATCATATGTGTCAAAAAGATTTTGATGGCTCTGCTAATGCAATGGAGGTAGAATGTGTAAATGAAATTTTCAAGCGTTCTGTCATTCTGAACGAGACATTGTATATAAATCCATGCTGTGTGATGGTGACTCTAAAGCGCATTCTCCTGTCAATTCTCTAAATCTTTATAATGAAGCGATAGTGAAGGATGATTGTGCGATGTCTAAAATTCTCCCAAAACAGCGAATGGCGAACGCCAAAAACTAGGGATGATGCGACTTGATGATCGGGATTACTTGATAGATGCCATTTAAACAGTCTTCTATTCTCTTAATTCATTAAACATTGATTTCGCTTATCTGTGTTTCTTTTTTTGTATGAAAATAATAACCGTCATATTCGTCATTGATTTTTTATCACTTGTTTTGTTTGATTCAGACATATTTTACTATAAAGTATTCACTGATCTCTAGTTAGTTTTTATACGCCACATTTTCATGTGGACGTATATTGTCGTCGCCCCTGTTCGTCCGTCCGCCCACAATTATTTGCGGACACTCTACAGGTCACAATTTTTATCCGATTTCAACGAAACTTGAAATATAGGTTTATCTCCCTAAGATCTCGGTTCCTTTCGTTATTGGTATGTATCGGACCTGATTGTACGAAAAATCGCGTTTTTAGCTTGTGAACCCTATAGAGGTCACAATTTTTATCTGATTTTGTTGAAATTTGAAATGTAAGTATATAACTTCCTGAATTATGTCCTCTGATATACCGTAATGATGGTTGAGTTGGAATTTCGTGAAAATCGGACTAAAACAGCCAGAAAAAAATGGCCGCCCCTCCACCTAAATAGCGTAAACATCTGGTATATCAAGGTTGTGGACCCTCTAGAGGTCACAATTTTGATCCCATTTTGATGAAACTTCACATGCATCTTGGTTGCTTTTGATATTCGGATCCTAATTAACTTCCTGATTTATGTCCCCTGATTGTACGAAAAATCGCGTTTTTAGCTTGAAATACATGTTTATACTTGGTTCCATTCGATATTTGCGCATATCGGATCGTAACTTCCTGAATTATGGCCATTGATTGTAAAAATGTAGAGGTCACGATTTTTATCCGATTTAAAAAAAACAACAAAAAACGTGTGAATATATCACCGTTACACGCTAAGATCTTGGTTCCTTTTCATAATCGCGGATACCAGAACTGAACTTCCTTGATTATGGGACCTGATTGTTCGAAAAATCGCATTTTTAGCTTGCGGATTATCTAGAGGTCACAATTTTTTTTCCGATTTTAAAAAACGTTTAAATATATCACCATTCCACCATAATGAAGGTTGAATTCGAATTACGGGAAAATTGAAATGAAACTGCCCAACAAAATGACCGCTCTGTGTACGCAAATTGTGTAAAATTATGTATTTTGATGAAACTTGAAATGTATGTTCATAACCCAAAGATCTCGGTTCCTTTCGATATTTGCGCATATAGGACCATATCTTCCTGGCTTATGGTCCCTGATTGTACAAAAAATCACATTTATTTTTTAGTTCGTTCTCTGACCATCTCTTGCAAAATGTGAGTGTATCTTGCATAGCAACCGCTTCTTATATATTTCACCGATGTGGTTAGGCCTTTCTTCCTGAATTATGGCCCCTGATTTTACGAAAAATCACTCTCTTTTTTTTTTAGCTTGTTCATTTCAAAATGTGGGCGTATCTTGCCTGGCAACCGCTGGTGTTATATTGTATTAGCTTGATAACGTCGCCTAAATAAATCAGTAGCTGTTTTTCCATAAGTATGTGTTATAGTTTATTTATTTACTAAATGCCACTTAAAGAATATTAACTCTGCTTTTAATTGAGTTAACGGTATAAATGTCTTGACTGAGTTCAATGATTAACATTTACTGCCAAAGCTAAGCAGAGCTAAGCAATTGCATTGGTCGATGCTTTGGGACAAGATAACTTCGATTCTAATTGGTGGAGAGTAATGAAACGTGGTGTATAGTTTCACTGACATGGTACTACAAAAAACTGACTGAGTGTGATCGTCAACATTTTATGCTTAGAATAAGCATAGATAATCAGTTTAATTGCTCGATACTTTTCAAAAAGATATAAATGTACAATTAATTAACATGTCATCTATTTATTTTGGGATTTCGGCGGGGGACATTAGCCTCACTGTTGGCTTGTTTTTTTTTCAAACGTTTGTCGTGCTTGCCAAGATTCATCATTTCTCAAACACATGGACATAGATTTGTTCAACAAGGAAATAAATAATTTTGCTTAAAGATACATTATGTAAAATTTAGATAAAGAGATGGCCGTTATAGTCCAAAAATAGATAATTCAAAATGAATTTATTGAAAATTTCATTCAAGTTACTTTATTCTAAGCCAAGTTATCGCTGTTTGTAGTTTTGACAAGATGTGTGCTTTGTTCATTATCGTATACACGCTATTAGCATATTCGAGACTTGGTCTCACTTCTCCATTTATAAATTAAATCATTAAATGGCTTAACCGTTCTAATCCATTTAAAATCGTTGCCATCCGATGGTCTAGGGAGTTCATTATGGTTTTATGTTAATAAATGTCTTAATTTATAATTTATATAACATTCTAGGCCTAAAGAAAGACCTGCTATAGTCAAAATTAGCTCTTGAAAAACGAGTCTTTAAGCATTAACATATTCAAACAGTGCGAACTTGGTATGCTTTATATAGCGTTATTATATGATAAAAGTAAAAATTAATAAATGGTCCTGAAAACCCAACAAACCAGCTCGTGGATCATTTCTATTCTCACAAACGGGAAGTGGGGTGTACCAACGAGAAACACAAAATGCAAATGCTATATTTATTAATATCAACATTAAAGAATAATGTTGTTTTTTATAAAAAGAAAAAAAAAAGAAAATGCATTCTAATTTCATTTACAACCAAACTGCGACCAATTGTGTTCGAATTGCACCATAATTAAACATACATTATGCAAGAGCTAAATCTGCCAATTGCAGGTCTTTCTTTAGGCCTGAAATGTTATCGAAATTATTAATTAGACATTAATTAACTTATCCAGACCATAATCAATTCTTGATGGCATCGCTAGCCTGCGATATTTACTGGATTAGAACCCGGTCTGTTGCTTCTGATTAAATCAAAAATAGATAGTCGACACTATGTCTTTTATCGTACCGACTTTAGTAATGATGATCGAGGCTAGGCCTAAAATTCAATCGCTAAATACTCGGTTTAGGGTGGATCAATTTGACTGAAATGTTCAGCAAATTCCCTTTACATTATATAGTTTTTAACTATTATAGTGTGAACTATTAGCTTTTTATCTAATCTCCCATAATGTATCGTTAATCGGGCCGCATTCCTGAAGGCTGATTTCAACAATAGCTGTTCAAAAAACGATGGGTAGCTAATGAATTGTTGAGTGATGGGTTATTGAGTGATAAACATACCCCATATTCCATAATGAGTTATTGAGTGATAAACATAACCCATATTCCACAATGTCTCAGCAGTTAAACATCGATTACCGGTTAAAATCAGTTTTAAATGGAAATTTTCCGGTTATACAGAGATGGTTACAGCAGGTTGAGATCTACTGTTCAAACAGAATGGGGCTGAATGCGTTTGCTTTTAGGGAACTGCGAACACCTCACAATGATTTTATACAATTTATTTTTGCGCTCTCCATTTATTCAAAATCTGTTAGTAAGACACTCTCATTTGTGTACCATGAAAAACGAGGCCACGCGCCTTTCAGGCGTGGTTACCATCTAAATTGACACGTCAGCCGATAATAAGTAAGACACTCTCATTTGTGTGCCATGAAAAACAAGGCCACGCGCCTTTCAGGCGTGGTTACCGTCTAAAATGACACGTCAGCCGATAATAAAAAAAAATTGAGATATTTTTTTTCGCTGTTCAAAAGTAGAGTGTGAGCATTATTTTAAATTGAACCTTGATTAAACACTGGCCAGCCTTAATTATTAGCGTTCGGTAATATACATGCGGTGTATAGTTCTTGGTTTTATTAGAACTATCCTTCATTGTAACAGAGTTTGACCAGTTGGATAAATAAAAGTTAGCAATGATAACCAGATTTGTTGCTATAAACTATAAAGCATGTAATTATTTTAAAAAATATGGCTCGAATTGTTCATCGGTGGATTTGGTAAAAAATATAGATACATAAGATTGCTATTAGCAGTCCATTGCTATTTACACTGATCCCGGATGATGTTGGTTTTGTGAATGTTGAAGTTGGAGATGGTAACATTTTATTCCAGAAATCCATTTTTTCCGATCGAATTTCTCGAGCCACAGTTGAATCTAAGTTAATATTCAGATAAGCTTTCTCTGATGTTGTGTACTCTGGCCAAACTATTTCTGCGTCATCATTTCCATTAGGATTTCTAGAAAAAGAAATCAAACAATCTAAACATCAAGAATGGGAGTAACCGTGTTAATTATGCTAATTAATTCATGCTCGGTCCAGATTGTCTACAACACATACCTGACTTGAATTAAGGTGCAGTTTAAAATGTCGCAATCTACAGTCAAACCATAACGTTGAACAGTCTTGACCTTTATGTGAATTGAAGTCTAGATAGAAAGTAACTTTCTAGTGGTTATATTATTGTAACGCAAACTCCATTCGAATCTCTATCTGCATACATAAATCGCGTATTGTCATGGTACCCGATTTGGCTCGTAACATATTTTTTCCTTGATGTTTTTGTAAGTGAAATAGTAGACATACAAAAAATACAAAATACCGAAGCAGATCAAAAAATTCTAAGTAAAACACATGCAAAAAACACGTAAATAAAAAAGAAAGGCAATAGTAATGAACACAGTAGTTGAAAAAGAAGTTGAAGCAACATGATAAATTAACATTCGGCTGTCATAAAATAGGTTCAATATCAAATCGGGGAACCAAATAGATACGTAACAGAAGCTTTTTCACTCGAGTTCGATACAGAAGGAATATAGTCAAACTATGACACCGGAATATACCAATGAATTAATTAGCCTGTTGATCTGACCGATACAACATATTCGTGTAGCTTTCGTTTTGCTACAATATATGGTCGGTGGCCAATTATTTCAAGAAACCCCCCAAATAAAGAAAATAAACGATATTTCGTATAGTGGGTTATTTACTCTCATCACTCGACGATTATTACATTCAAAATCTTGTTGGGAAATAATCTCCCCTTCTTCAGGGTTAACCCTTCCGCCTACATGATCTATCAGCATAAATTCAAATACGCTGGAAAATTACCGGAATTTATCGAGGAATGCCCTATGTTCAGAACATCTACACAGAGTAGGGGCGGCTATGTTTTCGATTGCCCAAGACATATACTTACGTATATTTGTCTATCTGTGAATGCAGTTTACTTTCCCTTATACATTCCGATTCTTTTAAATTTCCAACGTAACCATCTGAATGTCATTGAACGAATTGAATTATATATAAAATGGTACTTTTCCATGGTATAGCTTTCAATTGGAGTTCAGTCAACGTGGAAATAGTAATATGCATTTTATGTAGGGTTAGTTATAATTATACTTCCAAAGGATTAGTAAGTAACCATTAAAGAAATCAGATTTTTAAAAACAAAATTTACATACCCGTATTTAGCAAAGTTTGCCCAATATGTCATCATTTCTCGTGATAAATCTTCTTCCTCTGAATTAACGTTAGTTGAAGGGATGTAAGACACTTTGGGACCAAACACAAATGGAATATCGTCTAAATGATTAGCACCATGAAACCAGGGGAAATTCATTTTTATAGTATTCACATTTGGTTGGTGGGAAAACAGATATTGATACGTTGCTTTGTCCATAGTATTTTTGGCATGATAATTCAGTGTACGAACAGCTGGAGCAGTAAACATCATATCTCCTATTAAATCCACAGCGTTCCTTGACTGCTCGTCGGTAGAAAGATCACTCCCAGAATATTCATCACATAATTTCTTTGTAATGGTGTCATTACTGCTGTAGAAGTCTTTGACTAGATATTTAACAACATCTCCACAGAGAACCGTTTTGGGGATTGACCTTCGGACATCGTAAAATCCCTGCACGATATACACCAGGTTACCCCCTTCAGCAGTATTCGTACCAGTCATAATATCACAGTTATTAAAAGGTATGTCGCCTTTGCCCTTCTTCAGAATAACCTCTGGGTTCTCTTTAATGAAGTCTCCATCAATCACTGGGGCTATGTCTAGACGATATGTTGTTCGATTATGAGTTCGGGCTAAAGCAGATGCATTAACTATTTCCGTTGCATTCTTATTTTGTAAGCACTGCATGAATTTGTTGGTATCAAAACCAGGATCATTGTCATTAGTGCACCCCAATGTAATGCTCACATTCCTTGCTATTCTTATAGGATCAAAAGCCAAGGCAAGATGTGTTACTGGTGAACCACTTTGTAATATAGCTCTTTGAAATAGGCCTTTACTGTGGGTCGACACTAAATGAAGCCCAATACTAAAAGCACCAGCAGAAACTCCGAATAATGTTACTTTATTTGGATCGCCTTCAAAAGATGAGATATGCTTCTGTATCCACTCTAGTGCTTTGACCTGATCCCACATACCGTAATTACCAGTAAAAGCTCCGTCCCCAGTGTAGAGAAACCCTAATAAATCTAAACGATAGTTGATAGTAACCACAATCACATCTTCAGCAATTGCCAACAAGGAACCATCCCGAGACATACCCTGTCCACTATTAAATCCACCCCCATGAACAAAAACCATAACTGCTTTGGCATCATTTAAAGTTGTTGTTGCAGGTACATAGATGTTAAGCAAAAGGCAGTCCTCGTCAATAATTTGGTTGGGTAATTTCGCGAAAGCATTGTACGGAAATATCTGCGGACATGAAGGACCATACTGCGTAGCATCAAACTCTCTTTGCCAGGGAATTTTAGCTACTGGCTTCTTAAAACGAAGATTCCCCGTTGGTGACTCAGCATACGGAATTCCCAGGAATTGGTAAACATCTTTCTCGTCATGGGTAGCTAGTCTTCCTCTTATGTTACCAAGGGATGTTGAAACAGTTCGACTTATTGAAACAACAAAAGATGTCTGGATATATAAAATAATATAGAATATCAATGAAATGCGCGTTTTCAGTTCCATGATGGATTGTTTTTAAGTAAAATCTGTAAACAAAAAGGCGATACCTGTTACAAACTTTGTCACCATGTTAAACAACGTCCACCATCCCTCTTAACTATTTACAACTAAGTTTGTGCTATATATGGCCATGTCATTTACGGTAGCGTAATAAATATTCTGTTAAGTCGAGCCTATTTGCTTTGGGATTTCAACTCGGCGCAAATAAACGAGGAAGTGAACACATCACCTTTAATCTTAAAATGTATTTAAATAAAACCCAAACCTATACAGTTTAACTAAATGGCTCCCAATTGTGCATGGGTGCGAAAATGAATAGAATGTGTAATAGTGAACGTTATTTCAGCTTAGACCGTGTTTAATTTGCTAGTGCGTTTCAAGTAAGTTTGTGTCAGGTAAATAAAATGACTAGTATGGTTTACTTTACCAATACATCAGGTATCCAGATGAAAATGAAATGAAATGGGGTTTAACGTCCTACTGTTCTGCTCCGAGCTGGGCTAATGAAGGTGGGCATATACCATACAGTGCTATATAGAATTTTTCCCGGACAGCGGCACTACGGCCTACACTTATATCGAATTCCAACTGTCAAGGGATCTTTTACGTGCACGTCAATGTGTTCTCCGTCGTGCACCATGAGGAAACCACGCCTGAAAATCCCGAGGAATTTCCTTGCTCAACACCGAGAGCGATTCCGGCACCTTCAGAATAGTGAGCTAGAATCTTACTCGCCGAGCCACGGTGGCTTCCTTCAATACAAAAAAGAACAACCTAATATGGTGCATTGTTAGTATAAATATTTGATTTAGTGATGAACTGACAAAGGCCTTCTCATTGTCGAAATAATTATAATTTAAGGAGCTAAACCTATATGATTTGGGTCAAAGTCAATTTGGTTTGATCTGTTATTTCTTTTAAAGATACGGCAAGTTCTATACGATTACTTTTTTGTTTCAAAGCATTAAAGATGCATTATTTAAGAGCTCAATCTTCCTATGTTTCTATTTAGACATTTCTTAACATGACAAGCCCATTATCAACTCTCTTAACCATCAGAAGGGCTTAGCTAGATATTGAATGGGTTAGAACAGCTTTGTCATTTAATAATCTAACGATAAAATTCACGCCTGGGGTTAACTCTCTTTCATATAAATTGGGTTCAGTTGGTATTAAATGTGTGTGTTATTTTTACTAAGTAATTGTGATTTTGACACAGAAACTTTGGAATCTTAGAAAAGGAAAAGCTTGGACGACGAGTTGCCGAAACCAACCGGAATTTACCGAAACCGAAAAGACCAATCTGGATCGGTGTTAATGTGTCGAAACTAGGTTAGTTTGACCACTGAACGATACAAAATTTAATGAATAATGATTCACAATGTATAAACAAAAAAAAAAGAAAAAAAAAAGAAAAAAGAAGAAAATTGATATTAAATTTGGGAGGTAGAAATTAGTAACGAGGATGGATATTAACAACGAATGAAATGGTTTAAACGTCATACTTTTCATCTCCGTTGTGCATTGTCTCCCCGTGGTAGGATTTCCCCTAAGATTTTTTTACGGTCAGATCGGTTTCTACACTATTATTTACAATATTACTATATCAGGAGACGGTGTCGAGTTTCTATATTTTGTTTATTTCGATAAAAAGTAGAAATACAAATTGACTGAGGCGCGGATTCACCAATAAAGTGAGCCGTAGCAATTCGCATTGATGGAAAATCCCGATATTTTCGACGCGAAGCGTCTAGCTCCGTACATATAAACGGTAATTTCGCTTACATTTCGATAATTTTTGAGCCTGCATCTTTGCAGATATTGAGATTGATATAAACTATTACAATACAATTGCCAGTAATACATTTAAATAAAATAGTAATTCAGAATCGTAGATTGAAGAGGGCGAAATTTCAGCCGCTGGCTCTTAGATTTCACGCTAGTCACGTGACCTAAAACCCCTTCTATGAGTAATAAAACAGATATTGTGAAGTTGTAAAAATTTTAATAAGAAGTACAAAATTGAAATAACAATGATACAGAGAAATCCCAATCATATAACAGCCAATATTCAATCTGCAAAATAGTTAATCATTAAAACATAGTTAAAACATCAAAAAGTGTAACATCACTAAAAAAAACCCCAACGGCAAATAATCACGAACGATAGAAATATCAATTTCAACTTCAAGCCAACCAACTTAGATCCGTTGATCGTGTAACTGCTGATCACTAAAACAACAGCTAATCACGATAACAAGTATGTTTATTAATGACAAAACTCTAACCAAATACGTAATACTATTTCCTGAACTCACACCAGCGGAAGTAGATATAGTTTCGTTATTAACGCCAACAACAGTTTCGGACATGCGCAAGTGCCCAAGAGCAAACACACACCGGGAGTCAATTCAAATACGACATTCATATGTAAATAACTTAATTAAATCAACCTGCCCATAATATCATGCCTTATGTGTTGGACGTTAAATTTGTAATAAACAACAACAGCATGCAGGTGCTTTCTCCGTCGACACCGCGGGATCGAGCATCGCCTAATTACTACCCCACGAACGACAACAATCCACTATGGAGATGAATTTATATAAGCTATGGCTTATTTTCAGATCCACAATATCAGTATTTTAAATAATCATGATATAATAGAAATAAAATATTGTTTAAACCAACAAGACACTATTTTATATGACATTAAATTTAATAACGTGCATTATATTATAAATTACTTTCTATTGATCAAAACATGAACCTTATTATAATACATAGATACTCTTCAAAAAAAGTAGGGGATATTCGGAAACAATACAAAACTGCGGAAATGCACTGCTGTTTTTATTAGAGGTTTCCAGTGTATGTTAATAACAGGTCAATTGCCTACACATGAACATAAATAGTTCATATGGGCGGCTGAACTGACGGCCCCATTTCACTCGCAAAGAGATACTGTCAAAAGTAAAAATGGACGTTTTTGTTTCTTAAACATACACAATGCAGGGGCTAAATCTGCCTATTGCAGGTCTTTCTTTACTATTAATTAGACATTTATTAACAAAACAAGACCATATTCGACTCTCGGTGGCACCGGATACTCGATATTTTAACTAGATTACAACGGTTCGCCATTTAAAAATTAAATTTAAAAATGGGAAAGCGAGGCTAAGTCCCGACTATACTAGTACCCTGGTTACCACTGTGGACGCATCTTGTCAAAACTACAGACAATGATAACTTGCCTGAGAGTGAAGTAATTTGAATGAAATTTTCAATATTTTCTTTTTTCATCATCTATTTTTGAATTATTATAGCAAAATGACCAACTCTTTATTAAACTCTTAACTAATGTATCTTTAATAATGAGTAATTGCTCCACCAATCCTCAGACATTCAGCAATTCGTCGTGGCATGCTCCTAATCAACCATCCAATCACGATTTGGGGCAATCTGACCCACTCCTCTTGCAGTGCCACGGCCAATTTTTGCAGTGATGTCGGTTAATGTTGACGTCGACGAACACGTCTCCCGATCAAATTAAACGTAACGCACTAAAGCATAGATATGCTAAATAGTAAATCTTATGCAAGAACCGATAGGAAAGCAAACATGGATAGGATAAACCAGCAAGCGGCAGTTTTCATCAATCCTTCCTTAAAGTGTCAAATTTGACAATGACCCCCCCCCCCCCCCACGTGTATGGTGCTATTGCGTGTGGCATGTGCAGCTCAGTGGTTCTGTTGGGGCATTCTGTGAACATACTCTCAAAGCATGTCAAGTGTCCATGACTATTTATCATATGACACCCTGCATATATAGGTATTTGCATTTCAATATCCCCTACTTTTTTTAAAGAGTATACTATAAGATCCATGACCAAAAGGACAGAGGGTCTGACAACTGTTGTCAATAGTTCATCTAGATACAGGGTCACGGTGGCTAAGTGGGTAAGAGGTCGGGTGTTCGATCCCTGCATTGGTCGAGAAAGTTCACCCAGATTTTCCGGCGTGGTTCCCCCTTGTCAGTGATGATGGACGCAGGGGCCTGACAAGGACAACTGTATAGTCGTTCGTATGGGACGGAAAACCGAGGTACCGTGTACACATTGGCGTGTACGTAAAAGATCCCTTGGCAGTTGGAATTCGATATAAGAATAGGCCATAGTGCCGCTTCCGGGGCAAAATATCCCCCATAGCACACTGTATGGCGTATGCCCGGCTTCATTAGCCCAGTTTAGGAGCAGAACAGTAGGACGTTAAATCTCATTTCATTTCATTTCATTTCCATGGCCAAAATTAGTATTGAGATAGGTTCTGGTAATTTTTACGATCAAAATCTAATTCTTTTTATAACTAAAATCGAATTTTTGCATTCACTAGGATATCAATTAATTTGTAGTTATCAAAATCAAAATTGTGATAATATTCCAGTAATTCCATACGATTCTGTCTATATTGTTTTATTAGTGTTAACTCCGCTTGTGATGTTGTAAAGTGGATGGTCATTGGCTTGATAACCACACCTGTATATGTATTCGAATAAAACGAAGCATATTATTCCATTAAGTACCTTGAGTTATGTGTTATTATTATCTACCATAATGCAGTTGAGTAGGCTAACTTCCCTCCTCCGTCCTATCAGATTTCAGTATCCGATTCCGGCGATTTGTCTATGTGTAATCAGCCTGCCAAATTCGTAATTTATATCACCAAGCGAATGTCATATCACGTGTCCACCTTCGTTGAACATCTGATTAACGTGCTGCTCCGGTTTCCGTTTGATACTATGCTTAATATTTCCGATACTACTATTTGAACTTGGGTCATTGTAACACACCCCATTGCTAGAGTAGGCTTACACATACTAATAATATATAGTATTAGGTAATCTATGTCTTCCATAGTGTGCTAATGAAGAGTTGGCCATTCTAGCTATAATAATTCAAAAATATACTAGAAGATAAAAAAAGAAAATATTGACGTCAGTAACTAACGGTAAACGTTAGCTTGGTCGGCCATTTCTTGATTTAATTAGATAAAGAGCTGGCAGTTCTCGCTATAATAGTTAAAAACTAGATGATGTCAAGGGAATTTGCTGAAAATTTCAGTCAAGTTGATCCACTCTGAATCGAGATTTTAGCGATTGAATTATGACCAAAAAAACCATAATCTCGATTATCCATTTCATGATTAAATCATAAATGGAAGTCGAAAAGCAAATCAGAACCTAATCCAATAAACATCATTTAGATAACATTTCAGGTCTAAAGAAGGACCTGCAATAGGCAGATTTGGCTCTTGCATAATACATGTTTAATCTTGGATTTATCGATTTGAATAATTCGGGCACATATTTGTCCCTCTGGCTTTGTTAATCAATTATTTTATATATCATACACATTTATTTTTAAATTGTTTACAAATTGGGGTTGTAACAAATGGTTCCCTTGTGAAGCTTGTCCGTGTGTTCATGTCATCTTGCCAACCGATGTATCTTCTTTGGTTGTTTTATTTCTGTTTGTGTCATAGTCCTGCACTACGCGTTTTAAGATGTAGGCTAATAAAATACATTTCTACTATCACTCGTACCAGCTGGTTCTTTATGAAGGTTAACCAATAAAAACAATCTTGGCATTAGGATGGTGCATATTTTTGACTTTTAGGACATACATATGTATTTTTTTACGTTTAAAATAAAGTTATGTTTTATTTCTTGTTTTCTATATGGATGACTGATTAAATTACTAACAAATCTGGATTCTTCATACAGTAAGCATTAAATTCTCCAAAGACTGAAATAGATTGTTGAATCATGGACCTTATCATACATTCATTAAAAGGTCCATGATTGAATTTGTACTTTCCGACTGGATTCACTACTAGTGAGCCCTAGCAAAATAATCAAGATGGTCCTATCCTTGTTAAGAATTTTTATCAGATACTTATTCTATATGGCTTGGGACTTGTGCATAGTTGGAATTTTAATGCCGATGACTGCCGTGGAATTCACATTAATGTCGACGGAGAATTGATTGGCCTCTGTAGGAGGCAGAACATCTGGAATGAAGTTCTTTCAAATACTAGTTTTCTTACTCTCGTCCCTTTTGCATGTTTAATTTTAAGGTGTGTTATTGTGATATGTACGGTGGCCCGAGTTCAGCTCTGAACGTAGATCTCATTACACTCGCCCTGCCCTGTACGTCCAGGAACCGCCTTAAATCGAATCCTCGTCGAAAAAGTTTCGGTCCCCTGTCAATTTTACAGGGCAACTTTTTACTGCTAAACGGTCGCGTGTCAGTCTGTGAACACCTGTACAATGCAAAAGAACATTTTAGTGAGAAAATACGACCATGCTTGCTTCGCTAGATTCAATATGTGCGACAGTTACATGTTTATAGAATGCTACTCGAATTATGTATCTCAAAAATTCAGTGGTCTATCTCACGCAAACTTTGAAGCAAAGATATGACCAGTTTAAGTTCTGTCTGGGTTGAAAATTGTTCAACCCAACGAAATTTTGGGGAAAAGTTGGGCAGGGCAAAGAGACCAGAATTGACATTTAAGGGTAAATAATGGTGGCCTGCATCCAATGCAAACATTTGGAGTGCCTTCCCTTTATCTATAGCCGACCGGATGTTGACGTTTAGAAGCACGTGAATGAATGTATAAGTTTCATCTATTTTTCTAGACAATTCCAACACTTCCGAATCAGGCTATTGTTTCTGTACGGAAAACTAGCGTAAAGTTCCTGCGATGTCCCTGCACTGTTACAATAAGGGTTGTGGCAAGAAATTCGATCTTGATCAGAACGAAAACGGTAAAAAAAAAAAAATTGAACTTGAATTAAAGAAATACAGAATTTTCTTCACAAGTTTTCAAGGCGCTTGATCTTTATGATTTAAACTGGTCCCTTCAACCTGTTCGTTTCTCTGTGCATATTTCTATTAAATATTAATTAATACCACCCAACTGAATTCACAATGTAACTAGCTATCGCCATAATAAATGCCGCGAATCCCTGTGTAGAAAAACTGATAGTCCGAAAGGTCGCTGACTTCTCCAAATGATGATGATGAATACCCCACTGTGTGAAATATATATTGGGCGCTATTGCACTTTTGCACCTCTACCAGTCCCGTGGTTGTAGAGACTTGAAATTTTCAGGGGATGTTAAGGGGCAAGTCTGCAGAGTATGTCCGGTGCACATCTATCGTTAAACTGCTTTGAATACATGAATTAAAATTAACTAGATTATCTTTTGTTATTCTCAGGAAGCTGTAAATATCATCCCGGTGGACCGATATTTCATGATGCTTTAAAGGGATGGTCATGCTGCAAGAAAAGATCTACCGATTTTACAGAGTTTTTAAATATTCCAGTAAGTTGGCGGAGTTTCACCATATAAATGTTCATTGCAATTTTATGGTGTTGTAAATTTTACAGGTGGTTTAACGTCCCACTGTTCTGTACGGACTGGGCTTATCAAACTGTGGATTTTGCCTGGACAACGCCACTACGACCTACTCTTATTTCAAATTCCTAACTGTATCTTTATGTGTACACAGGATATTTAAACGACTAGATGCTGTCCATCTCAGGCTCTCCTTTCTACATCACCAACACTACAATCGAAACCCGGACGTACTAGTTAGGAGCCAGCACCTTGATCATTGAGTCTAAATTGTTGCAGGAGTGGTAAAGAAGGGAATAATCCCCTGGAAACAAAGAACAAACAGTGAAGAAAATTTATGTTTACTAATGTTATGGTGGGTTTTTTTTATTGGTTCCTACACTAAGCTCTTACACATCTGAAATATATTTCAGGGCTGTACAACGGGTGTACATTCAAATGAAAAACCTCCAGAGCCAGTACCAATCAAACCAGAAGAAAAATCATCAAAAGAAGAGGTAAAATAACTTCCCAAAATTCTTATAGAATCGTGTTCATGACTGATTTGTTACCACATAACAGAGACCTAGAAGAATTAAAGATGATGCCCTGCAACTCATCTGATCATACATCAGCAAGAGAACACAAAGGGTTCTGGTTGGAAACAGCTCCACTGCTTAATCATTGCTTCAATTTGGAGTTCCGCAAGGGTCAGTACTGGGGATGATACTGTGCAGTCTGGACTTGAATTTCACTTATATGCTGACGACACCCAACTGTATATTTCCTTCAAGCCATCAGACCCAAACAGTTTTAAACTATCAAAAGTTCAATATTGAAAAATGTATAGATGATATATATCTCTGGATGTCATAGAATTTCCTTAAACTTAACAATGAGAATACAGAGTACTTGGTAATTAATTCAAAACACAACCTCTCAAAGCAAGATGATCTTTCTATTTGTGTTGGTGCAATCTTCGATTGTAACATGAATATGGAGTCCCAAATTAACAATGTGTGTAAAGTAGGCTACTTTCATTTGAGAAACATTGCCAAAATTAGGAAGTTTATAACAATAAATGCAACAAAAACACTTATACAAGCCCTAGTTATCTCTGGACTAGATAATTTTAATTCACTGCTGTCAGGTGTTCCAAATAAATCGTTGGACAGACTATAAAAATTACAAAATTCAGCTGCTCGTCTCATCTCAGGCTGTTCTACATATGACCATATAACTCCAATACTGTTTAAAGATACATTATGGGAGATTAGATAAAGAGCTAGCAGTTCTCACTATAATAGTTAAAAAACTAGATAATCTAAATAAAGGCAATTTGCTGAAAATTTCAGTCAAATTGATTCACTCTGAACCGAGAATTTGGTGATTGAAATTTCGGCCTAACCTTGATCATCATTACTCAAGTCGGTACGATAAAAAACATTAACCTTGATACGGTTTTTATCCAAATTCTTAACTTAGTTGTTTCTATATTTTCATTTTTGTTTGAGTAATTTTATATATTCTATAGGTGAAAGACACGCTATTTGAATAAATAATAATAATTAATTGGGAGTCTTTGTCCTTGATCAAGTTTTAACATACAGTTAGTGCACCCATCAATGAAAGTTTGATAGCTTTTTGGATGGCTTAGACAATTTATCTGCTGTGGACACACATTTTGTTGCCAGGCAATCTGTGTAAGGATTAAACTGTCTAAGAGCTGAGTTAAGTATACAATCGTTGTTTTTTGAGGGGCGCGTGCACTTGCGGCACAGCTAATGTCAACCGAGGGAAGTTTTTCTCCCTCGCCCTTAAAATTGAAAATAGCTCTCCTTATTTGTAAATCATGGACATATATATTTAAAAGACTGTGAAAGAGTCACATTTTGATCAACACCATGCTGTCATTGTGAACATTTATTTGGTGTATTCGATTAGTGTATAATTGTGATCGCACATGGTAATAAAATTGTGATGAGAGAGAGAGAGAGAAATGGGGTTTAACGTCCACTCAACACAAACTAGGTCATTTCGGGACTAACATATGGTTTAATTTTATTTCAATAATTCGCTTGCGCGTAGGGGTCTTTAGCAGTGGGAGGAAACCGGAGGACCCGGAGAAAACCCACGAGGTTGGACAGGCGACCCTACTCCTTGTCACGTACAACCGGGGATTCGAAACCACGCCAGTCGGCTCAATGACAGACTTTATGATACAGCGCGCGCACGCTAACCATTCAGCCATCCAACCCCCCAAAATTCTGATGAATATGTTGCTAAAAATAGATGGCGCCTATGCATCATTGGTTAATTTAACTGAAATGTAAAGTAGAACTCTCGCAAAACGTGAGAAATTACGAGAGATGGCACATGGAAAATTTCCAATGAGAATAATTCCGGAAGAAATAGATAAAAATTTGATGGAATTTTCGAGTGTTCATGATTATATTTTGAGTAGAGGTTATGTTTTGAAACAAAATTTATACAAGCTATATATATTTAGAAATGTCGACAAGTAATTCTATTGGAATACCGTAAGTAGTTTTAGACAATGGCAAAAGTTTGACTTGACCATACGACTATGAGTGCTATTATTTTTAGCAGACGATGTTTATTATCATTTATGTAACCAGGAATGACCCCTTACACACAGTTATTGATCTTCAGAACCATTTCCAATACATACAAATAATCACTCCTTAATATCAGATCACTCTCCTCAATTTGTAAATCACTCTTCTTATCGAAACTGGGAGAGCTTTTTTAGGGGAGCAATTGTTTCAACTTGTTCAACTGGTTACAACATCAGTAACAGAACAGCCAAAAGTTACGTTTACCGATGACACCCCCATCGGCTCATCTCTAAAATTGTCAGCTGTGAAACAAAAAAAATTGGTTACATGTATATCTCGACATATGTGGACAAAAAGTTTTAAAGGTACACGTACCTATTGGCATTCTCGAAGCAAATTAACACATTAAACTTCATTAAATCTTTAACATTATATTTTATTAGCTACAATAATTACTGCTATTTTTTTGTTGAAGGTTGTAGTGGTCAAAGCACCTTTAGACAAAGAAATCAAAGCCAGACATACAGTCTCAGAATCTTATGCTGATGAACCATTAAAACCCCTGAAGAGATCAGTGGCTTCTTCTCTTAAAATGGCTTTAGAAAAACTCTCTTTAAATTCAGATACAAAGGATAATTCTGAAGGTTGGTGGTATTAATTTCTGGATTTGACAGGAATTTTTTATTGGAAATATAGTGGTAGGTTAATAATGCTCACAGAATTATTTGAATTCAAAAAGAATTCTAGGCTATTGAAATTTGAATCTTTTATCAAATCTATTCAAAGTTTTACTTTTGGTATTAGTTTTCAATATCAAAATGTCAGCTAAATTTGATTGAATTTCACCTTTTGTTGTCTACTTTGCATGTAGGAAATATTAGATGATATAAATATAAATTGATTCTGATAATTCAGGTTCAAATATATACTCTTCAAAAAAAGTAGGGGATATACAGAAACAATACAAAACTGCGGAAATGCACTGCTGTTTTTATTAGAGATAACCAGTGTATGCTAATAACAGGCCAATTGCCTTCACATGAACATAAACAGTTCATATGGGCGGCTTATCTAACAGCACAATTTCACTCACAAAGAGATACACCGTCAAAAGTGAAAATGGATGTTTTCGATTTTTGTCTTAATTATGAGTAATTGCTCCACCAATCCTCAGACATTCAGCATTTGGTTGTGGCATGCTCCTAATCAACCGTCCAATCATGATTTGGGGCAATCTGTCCCACTCCTCTTCCAGTGTATGGCGCTATTGCTTATTGCATGTGCAGCTCAGTCGCTGTGTTGGGGCGATAAGTTCTTCATCTGTGAACATACTCTCAAAGCATGTCAAATGGCCATGGCTATTTACCATATCGCAACCTGCATAGGTATTTGCATTTCAATATCCCCTACTTTTTTTGAAGAGTATATATAAAAAAGATTCTCTGTTTCTAAAAAGAGGGAAATTGAATCAAAAGCAATGCAAAAATTGATCATTTGGATCTTAATATAGCATTCGAATAAGGCTAAGAATATTAGACTAGTGAATAAAGTTCTAGATTTATATAATAGAATGTTTATATTAAAAGTATGAACACATTCTATATGTCTCATATTCTTGAAATGACTCGCTGCGGATCATCAGCTCAACATTGGCAGAGGATTGGCCCAAAGATTTTGATATATACCTTTGTGGGAAGTTTGAAATATATAATGTATTTATGTACCATTCACTCACAGTACATAAATCTCCTCCAATGCCAATTACACATGGTTGATTAGTATTTTTGATATTTAATGGTTATTTCTATTTCTATGGTTCCATGTGCTGACTATTTTGTCTTTACAGCTTCATTTTTGCTTACTCTTCTTCAAATCTTTTAATTTATAATGAATATAAATAATACATGTATATGTATTTTTTGTAGATTCTGAAAATCAGGAAATAAAAATAGGAACCTCTTGTAAAAATAATGCCTGTAATGCTGTAAGTTTATGACATAAATCATTTATTTTAAAAAATATATATAAAATAAGAAATGTAATGGGGTTTAGCATCCGACTGTTCTGCACAACTGGGCTAATGAAGATGGGCATACACCATACAGTGTGCTATAAGGTAAATTTTGCATGGACAGTGGCACTACGGCCTACTCTTATATTGAATTTCAACTGGCAAGAGTTCTTTTATGTGCACACCAATGTGTACATAGGACCTCGGTTGTTCGTCCCATTTGAATGACTATATGTTGTCCCTTGCCAGGCCCTCTGTCCTTCACTTACAATGGTCAACACAGGGATCAAACATGGGACCTCAAGGTTAGCTATCCGACATGTTACTCACTGAGCCAGTATAACAACTTAAAAGAAAATAATTTTGTTAACACTGTTCATAGAATAACTTAATATCCTAATATGTTTTTTCTTTTATTTATCAGACTTACCAAGATACTACAAGTAATCATGCTACATGTACATCACATCCTGGACAACCAGTATTCCATGAAGGGTAAGTAGATTACTATAAATAATGTAACAATAAAGGCTGATTTATAGTGAGGAAGTCCCATACTTTTATATTTTTGCCAAAAATGGTATATCTTGTGAGATATATAGAGTAGGGTGGTCCTTATTTTGCAAAATTTTGAAACAATGATGGGTTACCCGCAATTTATGTTGGAATTGATGAGAAAAAAATGAAAATAAAAAATAAATTGGTATACTCCTCAAACACCTTGACAAACTTCAAAAGTTACAAAACTCAGCATCTCGCCTTATTTCTGGAACAGTATACAGAGATCATATCACACCTTTTCTAGATAAACTACACTGGCTTCCTGTAATTTTTAGAATTGAATATAACGTTTTATTATTAGATGTTAAATGTATAAATAATCTGGCACCTACTTATCTTAATAATCTTTTTTGTTTTTATGAATCTCGTTGATAAAATTGGGTCTTCAAGTGATAATTTGCTCCTTATCGAGACAAAATGCCAAATTTCGTCACTTTCAGCGAGAAGGCCACTGAGGTTGCTGTCCCCAAACTGTGGAATAAACTTCTTTATTCCATCTTTTTTAAGAGAAATTTTAAATGACAGAAGTACATGACCGGATAGTATAAGGAAGTTTATTCCACAGTTTTGAAACTGACGCTATTGGCATTTTTATACACCCACATTTTCATGTGGACGTATTATGCACCCCCAATCTCCCCCTCCTCCCCGATTGTCCGTCCACAATTTTTTTGTGGACACTCTACAGGTCACAATTTTTATCTGATTTCAACGAAACTTGAAATATAGGTTTATCTCCCCAAGATCTTGGTTCCTTTGGATATTGGCATGTATCGGAACGTAACTTCGTGGATTATGGCCCCTGAATGTACGAAAAATCGTGTTTTTAGCTTGTGGACCCTATAGAGGTCATAATTTTTATACGATATTGTTGAAACTTGAAATGTAAGTTTATAACCCAAAGATCTCTGTTCCTTTTGATATTCGCGCATATTGTACCGTAACTTCCTGAATTATGGCCCATGTTTTTAGCTTGTGGACCCTATAGAGGTCATAATTTTTATCTGATTTAAAAAAACTTTTGAATATATCACTGTTACACCCTAAGGTTAGTTGAGTTCAAATTTCGTAAAAATCGGACCAAAACTGACAGACAATATGGCCGCCCCTGGTACTCAAACAGTGTAAAAATATGGTATATCAAGGTTGTGGACCCTCTAGAGGTCACAATTTTCTTCTGATTTTGATGAAACATGAAATGTAAGTTTATAACCTAAAGATCTTGGTTCCTATCGATATTCACGCATATCGGATCGTAACTTCCTGAATTATGGCCCCTGATTGTACGAAAAATCGCGTTTTTATCTGATTTAAAAAAAACTTTTGAATATATCACCGTTACACCCTAAGGTTGGTTGAGTTAAAATCGTAAAAATCGGACCAAAACTGACAGACAAAATGGCCGCCCCTGGTACTCAAATAGTGTAAAAATATGGTATATCAAGGTTGTGGACCCTCTAGAGGTCACAATTTTCTTCTGATTTTGATGAAACATGAAATGTAAGTTTATAACCTAAAGTTCTTGGTTCCTATCAATATTCATGCATATCGGATCATAACTTACTGAATTATGGCCAATGATTGTACGAAAAATCGCGTTTTTAGCTTGTGGTCCCTGTGGTCACAATTTTTATCCGATTTAAAAAACAACAACATGTGAATATATCACCATTACACTCTAAGATCTTGGTTCCTTTTGGTAATCGTGCATATCCGAACGTAACTATGACTCCTGATTGTTTTCGAATGTAGGATGAATTCGAATTTCGGGAAAATCGAAATGAAGCTGCCTGACAAAATGGACGCTCTTTGTACGAAAATTGTGTAAAAGTATGAAATATGAAGGTTGTGGACCCTCTAGAGGTCACAATTTTTGTCCGATTTTGATGAAACTTAAAACCTATCTTTATATCCCAAAGATCTCAGTCCCTTTTGATATTTGCCCATTTCAGACCATAACTTTCTGGATTATATATTGCCCCTGATTGTACAAAAAATCCTGTTAGTTTTTGGGTTGTTCTCTATCCATCTCTTGCAAAATGTGGGCGTATCTAGCCTGGCAGCCGCTGGCTCTCGATATGAAGCAGGGGGGTCATGGTGGCTAAGTGGGTAAGACGTTGGCTCGCTAGCTTGGAGGTCGGGTGTTCGATCCCTGCATTGGACGAGAAAGTTCATCCAGATTTTCCGGTGGGGTTCCCACTTGTCAGTGATGCAGGACAGAGGGCCTGACAAGGACAGCTGTCTAATCTTTAGGATGGGATGAAAAACTAAGGTCCTGTGTACACATTGGTGTGCATGTAAAAGATCCATTGGCATTTGGAATTTGATATAAGTTTAGGCCGTAGTGCCGCTTTCCAGGCAAAATTCTTCCATAGCAAACTGTATGGTGTATGCCCGTCTTCATTAGCCCAGCTCGGAGCAGAACAGTAGGATGTTAAACCTCATTTCATTTCATTTCGATATGAAGCAAATTATCACTTGAAGACCGTAATTATCGACGATAAATATTAACATATTTTAGCTATGTTTCTTAGATTAAAATAACTTATTTCAAAGATATTGTTTATGTGATTTATCAAAGAAAAATTTGAATTAAAAATTAGATCAATATTTCTGGTTGACTGAGAAGTGACAATGCAACTATTTCCTGCTTGTGTCAATTGAACAAAGTTGAACTTTTTCCTATTTAAAGAAGACCCAATAACCAAATATTCTGTCTTATCTGCAGTAAGTTTTAAAAAAATTTTGTTCATCCAAATTTCTATGCCTGCAATACAAGTTTCAATATTCAGCTTTGAAATTCCCTTTTAATAGGTTTAAACAAAATGTACAATTGTATATCAATCATTGCATATAGATGAAATAATAATTCATGTCTATGAGACCAAGTGGTTTAGTGTTTAGTGGTTTAGGATCGGTCCGAGGATGGATCCTTTGGGGTACACCAGAAGCCACAACAGAAGGGCTAGAAGTAAAGGCCTAGGAGAAAGGGACAATTTCCCGGAAAAGTCTTGAATTTGCCAAGTTTTGAACCTCTGTTTAAATCACTGGAATCACTTGTGTAGCTCTGTAAATATTATTTTTGTCTTGTTCACATTCTAATTAACCAGGAAAGAACATTTATTTTCATGTATAACTTTTTTCCATAAAAATAAAAAAAAAATTGAAAAAATGCCAAAAAGTCACCTTTTGTTTGAACTTTGATAGACGGTAGCACCCTCTAAAAAAATTTTTATATTCTTTCTCTCATCAATTCCAACATAAATTGAGGGTAGCCCCTTAACTTTTCAAAATTTTGCAAAATAAGGACTACTCCAATATAGAGCCAAGCACATTTTAAAGCTGTAGATGGTCATTGGAGTGATGATTTTGAGTCCCTTGCAAATTAAAATATTGTGGAAGTTAAATCTCTAAATGTAATATCAGTTCAGAAATAGTTCAATTACATTCGGTAATTTATAAAATTTGACATCTGCAGTTGATATAAACATTGATCAGATTTAATTCTAGCTGGGAGATTATCTACCATTGATATTTTGGGGTTGTTTTCTCCATTTAATGTTAATAATTAATTTCAGGACAATTTAGCATGGATTAAACTTTTGTGTGGTTTTCTGCAGACAAAATCCTTCACTGTAGTCTACATTATTTTCTGGATACTTACCCAGTAATAAAAACAGAAATAGTAGGAAGTAAATAATAACCACAATACAGTATTTAAACATGCAAATTACAATATGCAAGAGCTAAATCTGCCTATTGCAGATCTATTTTTAGGCCTGAAATGTTATCTAAATTATTATGTAGACATTAATTAACTTAATCAGACCATAATTATAATAATAATAATAATAATAATAAAAACTTTATTTAATGAGGCAACGTATTTAGTTTGCAAAAAAAAAACTAATCTTCCATAGGTCCCTCCTAAACTACAAAGGCATATATACATGTAATATCAGGATAAATTTAAAATCATTAGAAATGCAATAGCATTTTAAAGTGGGAAGTTTGATAAGTCACTCCCAAACTACAAAACATATACATTATACAAGTAGAATATAGGAAGAACACTATAATTACACACAAAATAAAATAGAATGCAGTTGCAAGTTAAAAATAATAAGTATGTCATCAGTTGAATATTATGGTTCCTTCAGTGTGCAAAATAAATGAGTTTTCAGTTTAATCTTAAAATTTTCAACATTTTTACACATCTTTATATCAAAGGGCAGATTGTTCCATAAAAGACATGCAGAATAATGAAAAGTACGTTTCATGGATTCCGTTTTGCATTTTTGAAGAAAAAGAGATTTACTGGTCTGTGAACGGAGCAAGATATCCGTTTTGGAAACAAGAGATTTTTCAATAAAATGGAAATTTAGATAAAGTGGAGTATTAAATGTAATAATTTTGAATGATAAGACAATTTTATTGTAAAGAATCCTCTGTGTAAGAGTAAGCCAACCGAGTTTAGTAAATAAAGAGGTGGACGGAGTTTCAATCGGTGCATCAAGAATAGCTCTTGCTGCCCTCTTTTGTAATTTTAAAAGAATGTCTAATCTACTTTTGGTAGCATTTCCCCAAATAATAGAGCAATAATCAAATATTGGTAGTATGTAACTGTTATAAAACAAAATTCTTGTCTCGTAAGGTAAATGATCTTTTATCTTATTTAGGAGAAATATTTTTGATGCAAGTTTTTTAGACATATCTGCTATCTGTGCTTCCCAATTAAGGTCTTGGTCAATTTGAATTCCAAGTAATTTTGCGGTAGTAACCGTCTCAATTTTCTCACCATGGAGTGATAAAGTTAGGTTTTTCTGATTTCTTTTGTGTTTTGTTGAAATCAGCATTGATTTTGTTTTCGAAGGATTGATTACCATCCCATTGTTTTCACACCATTCAGCAACCAAATAGAGATCATTTTGGAGATTTTTGGCGATGGATAAAATATCTTTGTGTGAACAATGCAGGGTACTGTCATCAGCAAACAAATCTATCTGACTTGATTCAATATTGAGTGGGAGATCATTTATAAAAATTAGGAATAGGAGAGGACCCAGGATCGAACCTTGTGGAACCCCACATTTGACTGTAGTAATTGAGGAGGTAATTGATCCTAAACATACTTTTTGCTTCCGTGAGTCAAGATATGATTCAATCAAAATTTGTGAATTATTATCAAATCGATAAAGATGTAGTTTTTCAATAATAAGCTTATGATCAATGAGATCAAATGCTTTGCTAAAATCAAGATACACTATACCACTCATCGCACCATTATCGATAGCATCAAGCCAATTATCTGTCATTCGGATCAGTGCAGTAGCACATGAATGATTTGATCTAAATCCAGATTGGTAAGCATAAAGAACATTGAAGGTTTCCAAATAAGTTTGAATTTGAGTGCTCAAGTGCCTTTCGAATATTTTTGAAATTGTGGGGAGAATTGAGATTGGCCTATAATTGTTCGGATCATCTTTAGCTCCCTTCTTATGTATAGGAATAATTTTAGCCAGTTTAAGGGCACTGGGGAACAGGTTTTGAGAAATACAAAGATTAATGATATATGTCAAACTGCTACAAATTGTATACGCAGACAATTTTAAAATTTTGGGTCCAATACCATCACACCCAATGGCTTTGTTACTATTTAAACTCAATAAATGTTTTAATACCTCTGTGGTAGTAATACAATTAATAGAAAAGTTGTTATTTGGGGGAATCTTATCATTTACGTAATCTGATATCTTTCGTTTGCACTCTTGAGAAAGTGGTGTATAGGGGGGCTTAATGTCATCAGTTAAATTAGTGAAGTAATCATTCATCACATTAGCAATAGCATTTAGATCATTAACTGTTGTTTTTCCATATTTAATACTATTGGGATAAGGGCAATTATTGGGTTTATTTTGTATGTCACTAAAATATCTCCATATGTTTTTAGATTGCTCTTCATTTTCGATAGAGTCCTTGATAAAGTTTTTTTTGGCTTTATTAATGAGATTTTTGGTTTTATTTCTCCATATTCTATAGTCGTCACACCTCTTGGAGGCTTTAAAGAAGTCCCTGAACTTTCGGGCTTTATTTATTTCCTCATTAAACCACTTCGGTTGATAGTATCTTTTTACTCTTTTTCGCTTTTGCGGAGCATGGCAGTCTAAAACACCTATAAAAAGGTTATACCAAGTATCAAGGGCAGAATTTGGGTCATCAATTGACTCGACTAGTTCAAATGGAATTTTAGCAAGATCATTAATAAAATTAGAATCATCAAAGGTTTTGTAATTTCTGTATAGAATTTCCAAGTGGTTGTGTTTTGTGATTTTTCTCTTGCAGTTTCCAATGATAAAAATAATCGGAAAATGGTCACTAATACCATATTGAGGAACTTTAATTTCAACAATATTATCCGGTGTGTTTGTATATAGATGGTCAATGACAGTAGAAGAATTTTTAAAACAGCGTGTAGGGGCAGTAATTAATTGATGTAATCCCTGCATATTGATTATGTTTTCCCATCGTTTTGGAACAGTAGTTGAATAATCTATATTAAAATCTCCTATTACATAAATAGATTGACCAGTATTTATGGAATTTAAACTAGTTTCAAAATCATCAAGCCAACCTGTACACGAAGAAGGTGGTCTATATACAAGGCATAATAAAAATGATTTTTCATATTCTGGATGGAGTTCAATCCAAATGGATTCGATATTTTGATGTTCATAATCAAGTTTTCTTGAATATTTTAGATCTGAATTTACATATAAGATAAGGCCTCCGCCACTTTTGCTCAGTCGATCTTTTCTGATCAGATCATAACCAAAGATATTAATAAATTTATCGTCAATTTCAGAATGTAAAAACGTTTCAGAAAAGCCCATGACATTAAAATTTTCATTATCTTGCAAAATTAAATCCCTTACTTCATCAATTTTACCGAAAAGTCTATTTATATTTAAATGACCTATTTTAAAACCTTTACGTTTGGTTGAAAATAAAGTGGAAACAGAGGGATAATTGATGGATTGTAATGAATCGAGGGTTACATCAGAGTCAATAAACTGACTGCTGAGGTAGCCTTTATGCATCGTTGGATCATTACTTTTATGATCTTCAAAAATCAGACTATTATTATCAGTACCAACAGGATTATCGAAGGAAGTTTCAGTATCATTAGTTGTGCTATTACTTGAAAGAGTTACATTAGTGAAACAGTGGAAGTTATCAATCAATGGTTCAATAGAATAATCAAAAATATTAGTGGTGTTGGTCATATATTGCATAAAATTATTATAATCAATTAAATCAGAATCATACGTAGATTTTCCGGCTTCAAAAACATTGCCTTTATCCTAGTACCTATCTGTACAATATTGCCTATGAAATGCTTTACAATAATTCGCTTTATGACCCTCAATATTACACCGGTAACATGTAACCTTGGTACCAATTTTACACGTGTCTTTTGTATGACTCGAAATACCACAGAAGAAACAGGGTTTAATGAAACTATTGTTAATGTCTAGTCTTTCCTTGATAATGTCTACATATTCTTCATAAATATGTAGTAGTGCAGATGTACCTCTGTCAGACAAGTGAATATTGTCTTTCCAAATATGTCTGTAGTCAGATTTTATTGAATCAAACACTCGAATTAGATTTACTGCCTTTTGAACACAAAACTCACGAAGGACATTGTTATAAAATTGAATGTTATGATCGATATTTTGTCCTGCCTGGTCATGTCTTGGTGTAGCCTCACAGATGAAAATATGTGCATTTGGCCTTTTCTTTCTAATAGTGTCCACTGTTCTTTTCAGGTCATATGTAATATCCGATAAGGACCGTAGCTCTGATACGTCATTCCCTCCAGCCTGAATGATAATTTTGTCATACATGCTGAGATCCATGCGCTGTAGATTTTTGACAATGTTGAAAATCTTGGCACCATTAATTGACAGCACTTTAACATTTGATTTTAGCCCATTTAATTTAACTCTTTGTAAAATGGAACTGCCGATAAGAAGAATGTTTTTCTGGGATTGGGTTTCATTTGACAATTTATCTCCAATTACAATCGGTGGTTCTTTGGGTTTACTGGTGTCAATGACCTTTAGTCCATCCTGTCTCTCTTCAGTTAAGGTTCTAGTTGTTAGTGGCGTATCTGTACTGGCACGTGTCTTTGATGTTGATGGGGTAGTGTGGGTGGTAGTTTCTGTTGTAACATTCTTATCATCGTGGGAATGGAGATTTATAATGGATACATTGTTGTCTGAAGTATTATCTCTTGTACTAACCGGTTTGTCTTCACTAGTATTTTGTTGTTGATTTACTGCTGGTGTCTCATTTGATATGATTTTGATAGTGTCTGTGTTGATTTCCTGACTGGTTAGCATTACCGGGTCTGTTTGAGTTGCACTGTCAACGTAACTGATTTTATGGTTGAGGGCCTCTTGAAGTTGAAACACTTGGCTATCAAGATCTCTTATTTTCTCAAACAGGCAGTCTAGGTCAGAGTTCGTTACATGTACATTTTGTGATTGATAAGGTGTAGAATAAATTGGAGGAATGAAATCAAGTGAACTATTTTCCACAGGGAGTGGTATGATTACATTTCTAGATGTACTATGGCTGTATTCAGAATTAACATCAAATAAATCTACTATATCTTCCTTTGAGGTATTTTCAATACTGCTCACATCTCCTGCGAATTTATCCAGAAGATTTGGAAAAACAGATGTAATCCATGCTATGCAGGCCCCTCCTTGAATATGTACCATATCCGTTGTTGGGTATAGATAAATCTTGAGTTTTTTGCCACCCATTTCAGTAGTTAGAACAAAACCATGATGAGATTTTGGAAAACTGTCTTTCGAATAGTGTAAATGCAACAGTTTTTCCATTATGTTAAAATATGAGTGTTGAATAAATTGTACTGTAACACTGCAGCATTTATCTGTGTAGTCACTAAGTGTGAAATACTCATTGTTATTGACATCAATTGGTGTTGGTTCACAATTTGAACTTACTTGAGAGGATTGGTTTTCAAATGAATTTACTTCCATCTTCGTATATTTTAAGTATATTTTGTATATTATTCACATAAATTAGCAGATTGTAATATCCATTTAAACGAAGCAATAGCTTACCGTATTTTATTATCCATATAGTATTAAGTATTCACGGCTCTATTTAAGAATTGTCACTATATTTTTGAATCCAAAATTCTAAAATTAAGATTAAGGTAATCCACAGAATTTCACGAAAATCCAAATAAACATGTATAATAATCTTATCTTAACATTACAAGAAGGAATGGCACTTTGTTGGTTAGTATTTTTGAAGTACAGCACAATTTCTCCAGAGCTATTTTATTCCTGGCTGGTACTGGCGGCCATACTCTCGATGCCATCGTTAACCTGCGATATTTAGTGGATTTGAAATTTGAATACATTTTGTTCTGGATAATTTAACATATAAATGGATAATCGAGACTTGGTTTATTATCGCACCAATGTTAGTAATGACATTTGAGGCTATCCTAAAATTAAATCGCTAATACTAGTATTTTGTTTTCATTATCTATTTTTTAACTATTATAGCGAGAACTGTCAGCTCTTTATCTAATCTTACCAAATGACCTCTTTAATATGGCAAAAGCTAGGCAATGTTTTTCATTCCTAATTAATCTATTTATTTATTTTTCAGTATGAAATATTGGTCATGTTGTCAGAGAAAGACATCAGATTTTGATAATTTCTTAGCCCAAGAAGGATGTAATCTTACAAAACACATATGGATCAAACCCAGAGTAAATGTTTTTATATGCTATTTTATTAGTAACTGTCAAATATGTGTTTTAATAATTAGAATTGTGAGATAAACTTATACCAGAGATTTATTACAAAACCTGGAAATGTGAATCTATACTGTAATAATAACAATTTCTTGGGTACTATAAAAAATTGGTCCAAATAGAGTATAAGGTAGTTGGTTAGTATGAATCAAGCTCAACAATATTTTCCACAATGGCACAAATAAATGCTGTCAACTAAATTATCATCAAAATTATCAAAAGTACATTTTAACTTTAGACCAAAGATAATAAACGCTGGAGCTGAACATTTATTAGACTAAAAAATTGAATAGGTGGATGACATCCAACACATTAAACATACCTACTCAAGAGTGTGATCCAAGACAATATTCATTCCTTTGGTCAAACAATGTGTAATTGTAGTCATTCCTGATCGTGTTTGTTTGTTTATCTGAAGTATATGTATTGTATATTTATAATAGGTTGAAGGTGAAGAAGTGAAGACATGTAGATATGATTGGCACCAGACATCATCTAATGTGTGTATATCTATATTTGCTAAAACAGCTATACCAGATAAATGTACAATAGATATTAATAAAGTTACCTGTAAGTTACACCTAGTATTTGATGGTGGAAAGAGTGTATTTAATAAAACATTTCATCTTAGTGATGTAAGTATAGTATATTGATATTGATTATTATGCAGCATAAAAATAATCATGGAAACTGAAAATTATCTGTGCAAGTCAAGGGTTCAAACCTGGATTTGTATGCGACAGGGAAAATAGTTAGTCTGCCTAACCTCTTGAGTTAGCTTCAGTTATTTGTTGAAATAAAAATATATGACATAAGAACATACAAACAAAATTTTCTGGTTCTCAGACAATCTTTAGCAAAAGTCTGATGCAGGAAGTGGTTTTTATTTTTGTGTTTTTGTCAAATGATCATTAGTGGTCTAAATGAACATCACAGGCACAAGATTTATCTCATGTATATAGGAATGTATGATTATCCATGCATGATTATTAGGGTTGTATACTTGATAAATGAGCCTCTGGATTCATTTGAATTTTTTTTGTTGGATTACTTCCTGTAGCTGGGTTAAAATATTTATGTGCTGTGCAGTAATTATTGAGACTTCATGAGGTCCCTTTGAAGTGACGCAGGATTATCTGAGAAGCAGAATATTTAGTGTCTAAATAAAAATGACCAGTTTAAATTTCTCCCTCTAAAAGAGGAGAGAATTGTACCTGGAAAAATCTACCACATTAAAAAAAACTATAAAATTTGTCTTAAAAAAGTAAATTCAAGAAATAAATATCCTCTATCCTTTTTTATTATTTCAGCTTATTGTACCCGAAAAAAGTGAAGTGAAAATGTTAGGAACAAAGGTTGAACTTAATTTGAAAAAGAATGATTGTTTTAGTTGGCCATTTTTAGAACGATCTAACAAGACGGAACAAACCCCGACAGCCAGACAACTAGGAAATGATTAATGATAATAATGCTATAGGAAATTTACTGTTAATTTATTGAAAGATTAAATTACTTGCAATGGAGAAGAAATCTACAACAGAATTTTATTGGTATCAGTGTATATAGTGTGAAGATTTTTACCCTCATCTATTTGTCCCATCCATTTCATTTTGTAATATTGATCAGTTATCAAACATTTTCACTGAGGAAAATTTTATATTACTAAATGTTCCGGTAAGCAAAATATAACTGTTAAGTTTTGAAGTTTTTTAAAGACCTAACTTTGGCTCGTTCTGGTAATTTTGTATGGTAAAATGTTTTGTTCCACATAAGACCCTGGTCTTCAAGCATCAAGCGCAGATCGTTTCTATTTAATCTATGCCTGGTTCATCATTGAGAATGTGTTATGTTTTTAATACACCTTTGTAGACCCATAACTATTGTCCTACTATGTATATGTATATTGTAAGTATATAAAATACAGATGTGAAGTTATCCTTTGATGTGATGCCATCCTTTGATATTTTCAAATAATGGTACAGGCAACATACCAGTTGTACATGATTTTATATTAGATGAAATATTGGACTTGCATGACGATTCCATTGAAATGTACTTGCGGGATAGTTTCTGTATTTTAAGGTGTTTAATGGTTTCGAGCAAGACATTGCCTAATATATTGAAACAACACTCGGGCTAACCGGCAGGAGTATTGACTGACAATAAACTGAATTTGGCTGCCAAATTTTTCTGACAGTCAATTTACATTTCATAAAAGTGAGAATTTAAGAGTTAAAATTATCGTATAAATTGAGACAATAATGAATTTCTGAAAAAAAAACCCCCCAAAAAACGCCTCATAAAAGACTGTGCACTTACAATTGGGGTACATATTCATTAGCAAATATCAAATGATATAATATTACATCAAATATACAACTATTTGATGATATTGTTAGTTTTGTTAATTCACCCACCCCGTCAATAAATATTTTGTAAATATTCTTGTGTTATTGCAATTATGAAAATCTGTTGACAGATTTGGATAACTGTGTTCTTTTTGTAATGGGGTGAGCTTCAACTGAGGGGACAGTTGGATGGCAGAATGGTTAGCATGTGCGCTCTGTATCATAAGGTCTGTCATTGAGTCAACTAGCGTTGTTTCGATTTCCTGGTTGTGCGTGACAAGGAGTGGGGTCGCCTATCCAACCTTGTGTGTTTTTTCCGGGTGCTCCGCCCCCCCCCCCCCACACACTGCTAAAGACACCTACGTGCAAGCGAATTATTGAAATAAGGTTGAACCATCTGTTAGTCCTGAAATGACCTAGTTTGTGGACGTTAAACCCCATTTCACTCTCTCCCATGTGTTTGGGACATCTGTCTAGTCTGGGCAGCTTGATTTTGGCTAAGTGGAACTAAACTTGGTGGGTGAGTAATAAATATTCGCACACACACCCTTCAGATTCCTCATTAGTCTAACCAATTGGGTACACAACGTGCCTCGCTAACTTCGAAGGTCAGGCTTTAAAAGCTCTTCCGTATTATCTGGCGCGGCCCAGGCAAGGGCAGTGTTTAGTCATTCTGAAAAGAGGCAAATTTTGTCCTGACATCCGCGCTGCGACCTACTATTATTTCTATTCAATAGAAATAAGAGTAGGAGTAGGTCGCAGCGCTGCTGTCAGGACAAAATTTGCCTCTTAGGGTCATCTTCATTAGCCCAGTGAGTGTAGAATTGTAGGACCGTAAATCCCATTTCTTTTGTAGATTCCTTTAATACCTTACAAGGAATGGAACAGCATGGTGTTCAAGAGTTATCTATTTCAAAATGTACACAGTGTAAAAATCAGAACAATCTGGACATCGTAGTGGCACACGATAGTGTAACATCTCTTTATCGACTGCCGTGATAGTCCCATCGGATAGCCTTACATAGTTGGTGACACGAACGTACCATAGTTTATGCCAATTTTGAATCTGGAAGGGGGTGTCGAATTCAAGACCACACAATATAAGCAGACCAGATTTTTCACTACTTCGTTTGGGATTGATGACCAAAGTTACTGTTCTGAGTTTTAGTTATTCATTTCAAGAGCGTGACTACAAAATTAAATTGAGCAATTGGAATGACTGCCTATAAGTAACAAACTGTTTTCGTGATAACCAAATCAAACCTTGAGGTAATTTGATAATTATTTATTCAATGCTTGAAATTGTCATAATGCTCATGTTTTGGATGTTCAAAATGGTTAATTCCTGGTTATTGAAAGTGGGTATCACCACCAAGATTTCCAGTTGACCTGGGAGTGGGGTGGCCGAATGGTTAGCACGTGCGCGCTGTACCATACGGTCAGTCATTGAGTCAACTGGCGTGGTTTCGATTCCCCGGTTGTACGTGACAAGGCGTAGGGTCGCCTGTCCAACCTCGTGGGTTTTCTCCTGGTCCTCCGGTTTCCTCCCACTGCTAAAGACCCCTACGTGCAAGTGAATTATTGACATAAAATTGAACCATGTATTAATCCCGAAATGACCTAGTTTGTGTCAAGTGGACGTTATGCCCCCCCCCCCTCTCTCTCTCTCTCTCTCTCCCAGTTGACCGCCACCTTACTAAATAATATAACCGAATATAAACATCAAAACCATATAAAAGCCGAACATAAATTATTCATATTCTACTTGATGGCCTGTATGATCAATGATAATGTCCACTTTTACGACGTTTGCTTTTCTGAGGGTCAATTTAATCGTGTTAGGCTTTCTTTAAAAAGAAAGAATTATGCGCGTATAGCAACGAAGGACAATAAATCTTGTGTAAATCTTTCTTTATGCACAAGATAAAACAACCCACACTATCTAAAGATGGACATGTCCAAAACATCAAAAGTATTGATTCAAAGGGGGCTAACGGCACATGCTTGCGTGCGGAGGGAAATCTTACAAAATTTGTGCGGGGCGGCCTAAGTGGCAGAAGGAATTTGCCCTCTAGTTTTTTAAGTTGCTGATTTCAAAATAAGCACGACCACTGTCCGCATAATTATATTTATATTGTATCCTACGGTGGCTGATAAGGGACATGAAAAATAATATAATTTGTTTTTTATAATTTTCACCCAAGTCAATTTTAATTTTCACCCAAGTCAATTTTAATATAATTTGTTTTTTATAATTTTCACCCAAGTCAATTTTAATATAATTTGATTTTTATAATTTTCACCCAAGAATTTCCACCCAGCGCGTGACGTCATCTCAATTAGCCTCGTTTCCATTGTAATGTATTATGTTTTATCTTATATGGTTCTCATACTGTAATTAGCCGATTGCAATGTATTATGTTTTACCTTATATCAAATAGATATTTTTATACGCCCACATTTTCATATGGACGTATATTGTCGCCACCCCTGTCCGTCCGGACGTCCATCCATAATTTGTTTGTGGACACTATACAGGTCACAATTCTTATCCGATTTTGACGAGACTTGAAATATAGGTTCATCTCCCAAATATCTAGGTTCCTTTCGATATTGGCATGTATCAGATTGAAACTTCATGAATTATGGCCCCTGATTGTACGAAAAGTCACTTTGTTTAGCGTGTGGACACTCTAGAGGTCACATAATTATCATCTGGTTTCTTTCGATATTCGCGCTTATCGGATCTTAACTTTCCGAATTACGACCCTTGATTGTACGAAAAATCTCGTATTTAGCTTGTGGTCCCTCTAGAGGTCACAATTTGTATCCGATTTAAAAAAAAGCGTTTGCATATATCACCGTTACGCCCTAATGATGATTGAGTTCGAATTTTCTGAAAATCTGATCGAAACTGCCGGACAAAATGGTCGCCCCTCGTACGCAAACTTTGAGAGAGAGAGAGAGAGAGAGAGAGAGTTTAACGTCCACTCGACACAAACTAGGTCATTAGTGTTTTGGAAACGAGGCTAATTGAGATGACGTCACGCGCTGGGTTGTAATTCTTGGGTGAAAATTATAAAAATCAAATTATATTAAAATTGACTTGGGTGAAAATTATAAAAAAACAAATTATATTAAAATTGACTTGGGTGGAAATTAAAATTGACTTGGGTGAAAATTATAAAAAAACAAATTATATTAAAATTGCCTTGGGTGAAAATTATAAAAAAACAAATTATATTAAAATTGACTTGGGTGAAAATTACAAAAACCAAATTATATTAAAATTGACTTGGGTGAAAATTAAAATTGACTTGGGTGAAAATTAAAAAAACCAAATTATATTATTTTTCATGTCCCTTATCAGCCACCCTAGTATCCATCCATTAGCGACATTTTCTGGGAACCTCGTTATCTTTGTTTTAGGCTACATATTATCTTTAGCAAAATTACCTAACTAGGAAAATACTTAGAAACTTGAAACCATTAGGGTATCAGAGTTAAAAGACCAAATACTTATTGGGTTAAACGATTTCATTAATTTAAGTTAAATCTTAGTTACTATGTGTAACAGTTTTGGGCTCAATATATATTTATTAAATGGAAGTACAAGACGATGTGAATAATGCAATCACACATTGTTGATTTCTATGTAAATTCCAGCTACGGGAAATGTCCAATTAATGTCACTGACCAACTGACGTTGAGTAAAGGTGTGTCAATAACATATAATCATAATTCTTTTAATACATACCATACTTACAAAATGTATAACTCATTTATAAACATACCGTAATATAAACGTTTGCATTGTAATGATAAACGGCTATGTCTGAAGCTTATTGTTATAATCATTATTCTTTTCTACCAAAATCACACATTGTACTTATTCAACTACACAATCCTTAGAATCATCGGATATTTCTAGAGTCCGAGTCCTTGTCACCATATCCTCCTCTTGTTCGGCATCACCTGCCCAAGCTTCTTTAACAGCAGACTTGCCTTCTGCTCCTTTCTCGTGAACCATGTGATACAATGGCTGACTTTTAGCTAGAGCTAACTGAACAGAAAAACCAGGACTTCTTCGAATTCGTCTCTGATGCCTCCATGATGATTGCGCACGCTCCGACTCCGAACGTTGTTGCGCTTTATCAAGGTAGTCTTCGGACACCAGGCAAGCTTTGAAGCAACCCTTACATTTATAAGGACAACCAGCACTGTGTTTAATAGACCCTTCCGAAGAGTACATCAGAGGTCTTAACAATGACCCTCTTGTTTCAGTATAAGAATCCTCATTAGGTGCTTCCAGTTGCTCCTCTTTACTGATAGCTTTTTTGTGATAAGCTGATTTGGCTCGCCAGTATAATGTTGGCTTCTTTCCGTTGGCAGCATCGTTCATTTGATTCAATCTTAACGCACCCGCCGGAGCGGATTGCGCGCGTTTCATATAGTTACGTTTTATTCCATCTATTGTATTGATATCAATATCCTTAAATCGCGTCCTAAAAATGGTGTGAGCTACTTTCGTGCTTTCGGAAAACCTTTGAGCATCTCTTTCTGTCTTGTCGGTGCCCTTTCGGGAGCATTCTACAGATTGAACCGTTAAATCCAAGTTATAATCTCTCTCTCGGTTTATACCCACGGCACTGTAGTTCCCGGTTGTTTTCATTATTCCCTTATTTTTATGAAATTTTCGCTGAGTAAAGCCTGAACTGCAATTTGATGTTGCTGGTCTCATTGCCGTACGGTTCCATTGATTCCTTAAGGATACAAAATCCATTGTCTTTGAGACGAACCCTCTGCTCGTTTTGTATAGCCCAGTGAACCCTCCATGTCCACTTGGAGAACATTCCCCCTCCAAAGCAGATTGAAGACGTCGTCCTCTTAAAGCCTCACTCTTCTCAAGACCAGCTGACTTTCGATCTGGTCGAATTATTATGATACTGTTAGCGGTGAATGGACGTTTTGTTAATGTCTGTACCAAAATACCGTTATTCTTTTCATTTTCAACATGTCTTGATGGAGAAATTCCGATAGGACTAAGCCAATCGTTCGCGCTGATGCCATTATAGACAATTGTTGCGGAATGGTTGGAACCGGTATTGTTGGTCGAAGCTACGCGCAATTTGCAGAAAACCTCCGCGTCTTCTTTCATTTTTAACAATGAATACTTGTTCTTTAACTATACTAGATGATCGAATCAATATAAGGAGACACTAATAACGTCCAAAACATCGACGGTTGGTTTATATAAAAATTATTATTATGACATTTCCTTTTTGTCTCGTCACATTACATAACGTACTTAATGACCAACATCTTGACTCCATATAAACAATATAAGAATAGATCCTCCGGGAATTAAAAAAAATCGTTTTAAATTTTCCGGATCATACAATTTAGATACAACGTTTCACACAATGATCAGTACTGATTTTCCATTCAAAATGGTTATGATTCCAACAAGTCTCACACAGAAGCCAGTGTGAATTCTTTGCGATAACAGAAAAATGATTTGGCGGTCGTCTGAATTTCAGGAATGCTGTATATTAGTAACCTGTAAACAAACTTTATATTCCTGGTTACTATCGCCGTCTCCTTTATGACTTAAGATTTCAATTATACCAAGTTTTGTAAGGCAGGCGTGGTTTTGTGATTGATTTATAATCAATAAGGTAATGATCGGAAAGAAACATTATTTCAGCCTCAAAGAATAAAATCGGCTTATTAAGAAACCCAGGCATGGCCGTAATACGTTAATATTGATAGTGAATGGAGTTGAAACGCTCTACAATGTTTTTAGATTATTAATACCACAGAACTGCAAATGGTTATTATACTTTCTGTTATTATTCGGCAATATCTCTTACAGCAGTGTTATCTTTAAATTGATATAATTGATATGAGATTATGATCCCTATGTTATGCTGTGAAAGATTTTTGTATTAAATGGTAGAAATATCTTGATGACTAAATACCTGCAAATAATCAATAAGGCATATCAGTGTATTTTCTAATTAACAATAACTTAGAGCAATAAGTGTATGCATGATTAACCTTGATCAAATTCGCTTATTTCGGTTTATTAGCGTTATAGCATTGTTGTTTTTATTTTTATATTGTAACCTCATGCGTACCTTCAGTTGTTGATTATCATTAATAGTAATTAATCAACTCTTAATGTGAAATGGTTCATCTAGATATATCAAATGACTTCCGGAAACGGTGGTTTATTCTTTTTATTTTTTAAGCTCTTCAAAAATCTATTAGGACTACTAAGATCTGGTACTGATGATATACACAACTATACATCCATTTTATTACCTTATCACATTATCACATTCATCAGGAGGGATATTAGGAGAGCAATGTTAATCGGGCCTCACATTTGCAGCTGAGCTGAAAGAAGGCTAGGGTGGTGAAGCTACTCAATAAAAAGGTAACCGTGGGACTTTAGATCGCCCATCAAGAGTCACCAGCCATGAACTTTCCAAATGTATGAGCAGTGGTATCAGATGTTCATTAAATTAGCACACGACCCTAGTTATTTTAAGTATAGGACATATTCTAATGAAGTTGGCATTAAACTGACCGATAAGACAATTAATGACACAACAAAGAGACATATTCACTACCATACAATGAATAATCCAACTATTCTGAAGGGATTTGGTAGTCTAGTTTACTTCGAAATTTGTGTATTACACTTTAGAATGATAATAGAAACTAAACCCAGAAAAGCCTCTCTGCTGCACTTCGGGATACTGACTTTCCTTTACAGTCGCATGTTCACTATATTTCCAGTATTATTTCATAATATTTACACTCCAAGCATGTTGGTTAAGATGACAGAAAATTTGTTCCAATGAAACAGGGCAACCAAACCAAAGGTGTCAGATTACGACGAACACAACACATTTAGGCGAGAGCAGTGGTGCCCCCCCCCCCCCAAATACCCATACCCATACCCCCCCCCCCCCCCCAACACACACACACGCACACACACATATCCCTCTAAATGACAGTATACAAAATTCTCCAATTATTCTATTTCTATGAATTGTGCAAATTTGAGCACATTGTTGGATGGGTGATGCTGGTGACACTGAATATTATACTCGGGTTAAAAAATGCGCCTATACACAAACATAGGACACAAATCATCTTTCTTGGAAGAGGAGTCCCGTGCACCCTATCTCGGGTGAGTGGATAGATCCCCTCTAACTGTGTATGCGTTATTGCCCTAGTTGGAAGGAGACGCTACGCCCGAGTTCATGTCAAGTCAGCCCTCTAACCAAATATCCTACATTTGCCACTGGGCGAAATGTGTTTTGTGATTGACTGATACTATACATGTAAACGGTTATAGAGATCTTTATTATAATATATTCAGAAATAATATAACAATGAAGCGATAAACAAGAGGTTTGTATCAGAGATTTCTATAAATCACAATTCAAATGTAAGGATCAATGAAGGGTAAAGGTTAATTGCTCAAAAGCGCGTGAAGTAATTTAGCTCAAATAAACGTTAATTACCATTTGTCAGTTCTTTTATGAGTGATATCTTACAAAAGCATATGCCTCAAAAAGTGTTGTGGGAGGGAGGCTACAATTTCAGAAGATATAACCGTGTAATTGCACAAAAGTCATTATTTTTTATGACTTGTGTCTAATGGAGCAAAAGTAATGGATCATTTTCTATTTGGCGTATATAACAACAAAATGGGCTGAAAATCATAAACAGTTATGGAAGCGAATTGTTTGATTGCATTGTATTGTATTACTCTCACACATAAAATACCAACATGTAGCCATTTTGAGAATTGAATTGTCGAACGAATATTCACCCATTGTTCAGACGAGCGAAGATGGGAGATCTTCGGATGTAAACTGCAAGTTGTATCTGTAACCTAAAATCCCCGAAACCAGTGCAATTTTTTCACATTGTCGTCTGGACTGTGATGAACTGACCTACTGAACTCACGAAACAACTACTTATCACCACGATCCAAGTTAAAAATGCTTTAGTGGGATTGTCATACACGACTTGAAGGAGACACAGATACTTTCATTTTATTTAAACTACAGTTAACATAAATGTACAATTTTTGCAATATACGGAACAACGAATTGGGTTTATCCTGCATTGAAAATTTCCATCGCCATGAAAACGATGGCACTATTTTAGAACAAACCCAGATATTAAACACTTACATAAATAGCAATGCCAAGGGCGTAGAAGAATGAGCACTCCCTTGTCTTTATTTCATTATTTTAATAATTAAGACTGTCAACTTTATGTCTATGTAGTCGTTATTGTTAATTATGGAAATCTAATTGAACAGTGATGAATTATTGTCCGAAACAGGAAACATCCGATTTTCAAGTTCTTAATAATACAGACTTAACAAAACAGTTGACCCCAAGGGGTCATCGATAACAGTTGGAGGTGCGCGCGGTCGGTCGTCTGTTATAGGTGTGACAAAACTCAGCATATTCTTCCCACGAGCAGGATTTGAAATAACAGCATTCTTCCATCACACCCCTTTTCTGTCTTGAGTGACTTTTAACCTTTGTTCCTTTCCCTCTTGTGGCTAGAAAGGAAGATGCTGTATGCTTCGATAAAAATGGCGGTGATCCGGAAGATTTTTCAGAAGCTGAAATAATTTTAAAATTGATAAGAGAAATCTCCTGGGTGTTACTGACTAAATTATTTAATCACATTTATAAGTATTTGTCACAGTTAGGTGTAATTTGATAGGGAGTGGGGGTGGGATGAGGCGATGGTTGTTGATTTGCTAAGATTACTTCCGAGTATATGGTGGTACTCCCAAAATGTGTTACCACGCAAGAACTTATGGTCTGAGAGCAAAAACGATTATTTGTCGTCGATTTTATTTTACCATTCACACAAAACTGATCTTAGTCATTATAATTACATGTGTTTGTCGGTGATGGAAAGTCGTCGGCAAATACATGTAGGCCTTAGTAACCATTGAATTATGTATGCAGTTCTATCTTAAAACTATTTACATGCCATGCACTGGTGCAAATATTGAAACATACGGTAACCAAATTAGGCAAGACACTATGCCATGCATGCCCCTTCTAGAAGACTAGCGTAAGCGTAAAACCCAAACTAAATGTAGCGATAATTTTTGCTGGGATTTCAGAAGGTTACCAACAGGGCGGGGAGAGAGAGATATCTATTTGGAAACAGAAAATTACCTGGTATTATTGGAACCATGGAACTATTTACAGATCTTTTGGTAATGAATATTTTGTACGGATCAAACGTACAGGCCACGTTTACATGTTCAATAAGTTGTACACGGCAACGTCTATGACAGTCTGTATGCCAGATTTCTAGAGCTTCTTCTGTTGATGATTGACTAAACCTGAAATATTCATGTAGTTAAGATTAACAAAAGCAGAAACAAAAATATTATACGCGCGCTTTTAGAGTATATTATTATTTTCGTTACCGTTATTATCTTCACCTTTTTGGTAGGAGTCCATTCTGAAATACGCATGCATTGTTCATTTAGTTGGTCAATACAGGGCAGAATTTTGTAAAACCTGCCAAGATTGGCATAAAGAAGAACACTATCGAGCGCATTTGGAAAATTATCTTTCTTTCACATTTTGATTTTCAAAGCTAGTGAACACAACACACAAAATACGTTCAAAGAAATTTTGCAAAACTAAGTAGAATGGTTCTTTTGGGGATCATAGAAAAACCTATCGAAATCCAGTATGTTCATAATTATTTTTTTGTTCACAATGATTTTAGAGCTGGTGGGCGTATCAGGGGGTGGCTGTAAGGTCATTCAATGATTGTCCTTCTACGTGTATGCATATTGTTGGAAGCAACATATTGTAGACGCAACATTCTGCACTATGGTTGGGATAATATATAGATATATTGTACAAATAAATGCAACTCTCATCTTAGTTTATACGTGTCTTAATTGAGACCAATAACAGTTTGCCTCCACCATCTTGGACAAAATTGTATCGCAACAACTCCCGTAGTCAGATAGTCACACGTTTTTATATTTCAACGTGATAGTTTGATTGTTAACCGATTTTATGGCAACCTTTCCCTTTTTAAATTGGTCACATTTTGTGAAAAATAGGCAATTATTTTCAGTGTCATTTTATAGATAGTATACATTTTGTCCATTCATTCTTAAAATAGTTCAACTATTGTTATGGGTTGTATTAACGGAGATAGTAGTAGTAATGAAATGTGAATGAAATTTTAATGAATGGCTTTTCCTCAACCTATCGCTTAAATTTGACAATTTACACCGAAAATTTACGCAAATAGCCACTATTATATGACTAAATCATGTTGAAAACATAATACTCACATGACACCCGTTTGAGATTGTTCAAAAATCGATAGACATTCAAATTACGACATTGCTTATTGGGATGTCATTGTCATTGATGCTTATCTGTACAGCTTTAAATGATTGAACGTATCAGTATAATTGATCCTTAAATAATCAAGATGGATATCGAACGGAAGAATATTACGGTATTTATTAATGTCTGTAGCCTCATTCATTAAAAATAATTAATGGGCCGATAAAGACGGGGCAAAAATCGTTCTTACCTATCGGCAAAAGCTTGCACCAATACATCGTTGCCTGAAGTGTGAACAAGTTTGGTTAAAGACAATAATATCACTATTAATGTTGATACACAAAGGCTAATCTGTTGTCCCTTCCAGCTTAATACATCTGAAAATACACAATAAAAATATATTATTGTGATTGGTTTGTATTTATCTCAAGGACCGGTACCAAAAGCAATAACCTGCGTTGGTGGCAAAAGGCTTCTGCCCACTAGCCCCCCCCCCCCACTTGATGCTCGGAATCCAAGGTCGCTGACTAATAAAGTTTCAGGGCTGGGAATAGGAAGAGTATCTGGATAGGAGGGCGCCTTGGTGTTTAAACAAACGTTGACCTTTCCAAAATCTGCCGAATTTAATTTGATGTCTAATTTTAGAATGTCCTTGGTTCAAATCCCGGAGTAGCCTCATTTTTCATGAGTGTTGCTTGTGACCCCCCCGCCCCCCCCCACACACACACACACACACATACACACGATTTTCGCTTTCAGACCATTGTTTCCAGGGTTACACAACATCTGTGCATTTACTGAAACAATTTAAGTTTGAGTGTAAGATTTTTTTAAAAACGTTAGAATGGGTAGATCTATTAAATTTCTACCCACTTTGACAAGTCGTTCATGATTTGTAGAGGCCGTCGGTCATGTGAAAACATTCAGTTGCTTTCCTTCCTATACGAATACTTTAATTTCAATACAAACGGTATGAATTAGATAAGGAAACACGTCTGTTATCCTGTATTATAAACCTGTAACAGTAAATCTCTTTGATCTTTGGGGTATATTCTATGCCCGGAATAACTTGCCGTCTGAAAGTCGGGACGGCTTTGTATATATATACAGGCAGATTAGGGGTTATTCTTCTGAAAGTTTTTCTTTAAACCTGTACCGGGTTATTCTTCCAGGGTAGGTTTTTTTCCATAAGAAAACATGATATAAGGTTTTTTCTTACGGGAATACTGGGGTACATGTAAACATAGACGGTTTATAAGCAAGATAAAGTCCTCGACTTCGGTTATACTGGGGAAGAAAGACTTCAGAAAAAAAACATCGACAGAAAAACCCCGGCATCGGTTTTTCTTTTTCTCTGGTTATTTTCTTCAGTCTTTCTTTCCCCAGCATAACCTCAGTCTCGTGCTTTATCCTACACGTAATACCTGGTTGGAGTGACACGGAGTAACACGGAACAGACAAGGGAGAGTGGAGGTTAATGTGGTATAACATACGGTTGTTTTGGAGTTTTAGTTTTCAAACTAAATTTGATTTTGCGTGAAGCAAAACCTAATTGAATTTCACAGATCGATCGAAATCTTGTAATCGATCTTCAGTTTTTAACATTTTCTACTTTCCGGATCTTTTGCGATAAATAGTTATGAACCCATAGAACCAAGGATAACCAGTGTTATCAAAGGTGGAAATAAATACCTATACACTTAATGTCTTTAAAACCTTGGGTCGAAGCGGATTTTAAGCTTCACAAGAAGAAGTGTCTTCAATCAGTAATGTCCATTTTCCAATTATAAATATAACATATTTGTACTCTGGCAAATCTTTATCCAAGTCCTACATAACTATCTGAATCTATATTAAAAACGACTGACGGTTCTTTATATGGAAATTAATTATCTTCTAAACCATTTATAGATAGACAATTAAGTGTTAATATAAAGACAATTTGGATTCTTATAAATACATTTTCAATACATCTATTTGCGTCGGCATCCAATATTAAAGATTTTAGCGCAAGTTGGGTTTTGTTTGTTTACTAATAATTCGCTATGTTGCGATCCCGACGTGGCATAAATCCCATTTTAAAATTGCTTCCAGGGCCTATAGGTGTAGCTGTAATACAGGATTGTAGATGACATGTAATAGAAATGATTAGAAAGAGGTTTAATATCTCGTCAACTAAATACTTTGGTCATTTTGAGACAAACATATGGTAATATTAATTTCTAGGTTATTGTGTGGAATGCGTGATAGGAGAGTTTTGTCTGAACAACGGAGTTTTCACCTTCTTCGAATTCCAAAACATTGATTTAGGTTAAAATAAAGTATAAAATTTGATGATTTATTTTGGTTACGGTTGTCACAAGCTCTATGTGATAAAATGTTTCTTTGTGTAATAATCTTAGTTGCATTTTGGCCTTCTATCTCGACACAATCCGTCTCAAAAATTGGCTTTATTATACTATTTTGAATGCAAAATCTAAAGACAGCGACCACTTAATTTTTGACCCAGGCTCCAAACTAATTTAATTTTGAAAAACATTCACAATTTAAGAAGAACTGATCTGTAGACTTGTACCAAGTTTGTGAAAATCAGTCGGGTCATTATATGGTATGTATGGGACTACAGAATGACCAAACTTTTCGCCGGTTTATGTATACATTGGTGAAGAAAGCACTCCAGATCACCAAATCTATTGACTTGGTCGGCAATCTGTTAGAGGCTTGGAAGCTTTCCTTGGTACAGTTTACATCTATCGGTATTCATGTTTTAACTGCTACGTTGAACTAGATCCTCTAGTAGATGATCGCCATGGGTCGTATCCGTACTACCAGACATATGTTATGTTTCCAATCGCTAAATACCATTAAAGGATTATATAAACTGTTATTCTAACACTGTAGTTCTTAATTGACCCTGACAGCCCGGGACCAGTTCAATATGCATCAACAACTTCAGAGGAAATATAAAGATATTGGTAATAACCTTAAGGGAGTAAAAGAGAACATTTTACTGTCTGGGCAAACATATCCTGTATCTCTTAGCATGTGATCACGGAATTAAGAATATCCCCAAGATTTTGAGAAAGATAGTCAAATGATACCACGTTAATAAATGATGTAATGCAGATCTTTCTTTTGGCCTCAAATGGTATATAAATAATTAATTAGACATTTATTCACATGCCAAGCCCATAATCAACTCTCTAGACTATCGGATGACTCTGATTTTCAACAGATTTAAACACGATTGCCAGTTAATAATTTAATTAAAAATGGATAATCGAGACTTTGTTTATTATCGTAACAGCAGTAGCAATGACAATCGACACTACACAGTTTTTCAAACTGCAATAACTCCGCTCAGAACGGAATAATTTGACTGAAACTTTCAATATATTCCCTTTTCATTATCTATTTTTAACTATTATAGCTAGAACTCCCAACTCGTTATCTAAATCTAACATAATGCACCTTTAAGAACACACTAAGTAAATAATAAAGCAGCCAATGAAGTGAGTGTATTGAATACAGAAAATGTTGTTTGCTATGTACAGTCCTCAAATGAGAAGTGGTGCCAAGTGTTCCTGAAACACTTGTAACGGGTGCTTCGTGCACGACACCAACTACTACCTATTAGGTAACACCCACCATTGGACCTATGCGTTGATTCAATTACCACAATCTGATAAACTTTCAATTTTTAAACTTTAAATCGCCAGAATTCTACTTTCATGGACAAAATCACATTTTTTGGAGGAAATCTATAATTTTATGCATTTAATCTGTAGAAACATCAAGATTTTCAACTTCAAACCGTCAGAATTCTACTTTAAATGACAAGATTTCTACTTTTTACTGTCAACTTTAAGATTTCGACTTTCTGCTTTAGACTTCCTCCTCTTGATTTTCTACCGCAGATGTAACGACCGGCATATTAGGGAATTAAATTTGCCCGGTTGGAGCAGAAAAGCAGGACGTTACACCCCAGTTCATTTCATTTCTATTTATTTTTATGGTATTCAGAAGCTGATGACACAAGCTAATTTATTTCCGTGTTATGCTACCGAAATTCTACTGGAAAATCTGCGGTAGATAACCTTGAAGTAGAAAATCGAAGCCGAAAAGTTGATAGTAAGAAGTAAAAATTCGGTCCATGAAAGTAGAATTCTAACAATTTGAAGCTTGATGTTTCTTTAGATGATACGCATAATGTTATTATGTTTCCTCCGTGAACATATCAAATGTAGATACTAATTTTCTCTTTTACTGTTGATTTTGTACTTTCTACTCTAGATCTCATTTTGAACCTGATACCCTTGCATAAACTATGAACAGCGTGACTGGAATTAACGATGCCTTATACTTCTATCATAATTTATTGTTCCTAAGCGTAATAAAATATTCAGCTTTTAATTGATATGGAATCGCACTAATGTAAACATTAAAGACGTAGTACGACGGAAAGCCAATAAGTAATTTCCTTATAAAAATTTTAACAGGGCTGAAAAGGTTAGTTAGATATAATCTTTACCTCGATGTTCACGGATGACAGTGAAATATCGTTCAGCCGCCTAATAATTCAATGATATTTTGATATTGTACTGTTTGATTTATTCATATCAAAGGAACTCTACTGGTACAAATTGTATATCATTTATAGCATAGCAACCCATTAAATAGATATGAAATGAAATGGGGTTTAACGTCCCACTTAAAGTAAAAATATGATGGGGGCTGGGATCAAGACAAAGGCCCTCCTTTCGACCCAGAGGATAATCTTAAAATAAATCATTGTAAGCCCTATCTAGATTTGAGGGCGAGTACCAGATTTGAAAACTTCCATTAATAATAATGCCTGAATAAATAAATTCATGTGGGTAGGTAGATTTATCAGGAAAAAAATCAGATTCTATTCGATTGTTCATTATAAATCTTTACAAAGCAGTTCCTTTTTGATTCATTAACAATAATACATAGAAGCAATTAGATTGAAATTATATCTACTTTTCCTTGGCTTGAAATAGCGCACATATCCCAATTAAATTTTTCAAGCTTAATTAAAGAGGCATTATGGAAGATTGGATAAAGAGCTGACAGTTCTCGCTATAATAGTTAAAAAATAGGTAATGTAAATGGAATTTGCTGAGAATCTCAGTCAAATTACTTCATTCTGAGCCGAGAAATTCTCACTTCAATTTCACAGTAGCCTTGATTGTCATTGATAATAAACAAAGTCTCGATTATCCTTTTCTACGGTTAATCGTTTCGGCTGTTGAACAACAGATCGGATTCAAATCTATTTAAAATCGGGCATCCTATGGCATCGACAGCTGATTATGGTCTTGTCGTGTTAATAAATGTGTAACTAACAGTTAATATAACATTTAAGGCCCAAAGAAAGACCTGCAATAGGCAGATTTTGTTCTTGCATAATGCATGTTTAAAAATACAAAACATCTCAAACAATATTAACAATCTTTAACGTCCCATTCCTTAATACAGTGAAGTCGCAGACATCCCAAGCTATCCTGGCAATCTAGCTTCTATATCAATTAAAATTGTATTCAGTCGACCAACAATAATTGGTTTTCCGATAAAGTGACTGATCATAGTTTAATTTTCTGATCATTGCAGTATTTCGCGTAATAAACTGTCTGAATACACTGCCATGACAACACGGTACCTACGTGTTCATATAGAACACCAGTATATACTTTTAAAACATTTCGTTAAAAAGAAAAATAAGCATTGCCATTTAATAAATGAATACGTTAGTTAGTCCGTCGATTCGTTTTGTAGATATTGTCCAATTGGTGTTTAAGAAGACGACAACTTATCGATTGATAATCAAACGTTATTTTCTGTTGTTTGTTAATAAAATATTCATGGACTAAGATCAAACTTTAGGCAGGAACGAGCAAATTTGACACAAGATTGTGTTCATTGTATTCAGATTATGCTAGAGGAACCCAGGTGGTTGTACAATTAAGTCTGAATAATAAAATGGCCAAGTTTTTGTAATATTTCATTATGAAAGCGCATAAAAATATATATTTAAACAGCAGGAGAACATTAATAAAATAAAAGTAAAAAATACATTATTAATTATTATTCAAAGCGAACAAAATAACTTAAATAGAAGATAAAATCAATCTTGAAGAAAACCTAAATAAAATTATTGGTAAATACGAGTACTAAAAAAAACTTAATTAAAATATTGGTAAGTAATTATATTAAATTTTAAATAAATAAGTTAGGGATATTGTTAATTAAAACCAAAATTAACCTACCACAGATATCCATTATTTTCTGCTAAATACTTAACAATACTATCTCGTCTATAAATCAGCACTTAAAACTAGTTCCAAAAGTTTCCGTAGTTCCATACAACGGATGTAGTTTCCAACAAACTTTTATAATCGGCTATATTTACTTATCATAGTATATTCAACATGACACAACTTTATAAAAATCATCTTGGGCTATTTTTTTCGCAGTAAAATTAAAATAAAAACTTGTGCGCCGAACTAAGTTGCAATGTTTTATTATGATGATCAAATTACTGACAAACGGTTTTATAGGATCTGAGGTAGCCGAAGGCCGTGTGCTTGAAAATCATTTGTTGTAACGTTCAAAGTCAGACTAAATGCGGGGTAGCCCATCCTTCGCCATACACGCTGTTTAGAAATCATCGCAACTCACACATATCCCCAGGTGACTTATCGTTTCGCCTTTGTTAATGATAATTGGACATTATTTCATTGGCTCAAACTATGTTTGAAATTATGGGCGTTTAATGACACTGGCAGCAAATTACTCCTGAGTTTCCACACCAGTTTCTGCCATCAACACGGGGAGTGGATTAACATAATTATGAAAGCAGACAATGTTTTTTGAATGCCATTAAAGTCCAAAGTAAAAATAAAATAGATAAATACATATAGTAAACCACTAACCACTTCAGCCCCAGAATGTGTAGGAACATTGCAACTCCACAGAGATTAAAATACTAGAATCTAAGCGGTGTACGCAGTATTAACGCAGATTTATCCGCATACCTGTTTCAATGAAAACCCAACTCCAGGACATTAGAATAACTTCTACCCATATCCTTGTCACCCCAGCCCCCGCCCCCTTAAAGGAAAATTCTTCGATGAGTTCCCAACAACTTGTGAAAGTATGCAAATCAAACGTCACAATGGGGAGCAAAAAACAATTTAACGTATTTGAGAGATTCAACTCAAAATATTGCCTTGCCCTCTGTCCTGCACCACTGACAGGGGCCTGGAAATAGAATAGACGCATCTAACATGCATTCTGAAAAATTCATACGACATTTAAAAACACCAACAGGTATTTCTGGCGTATATAGTCGTCACCCCGTCAGGTGGAATGCATTGTAGGCTGGTTATTACAAAAGTCAAGTGAGAATAAAATTTGCGAAAGGTTTTGGGCTGTTTTATAGAAGACATAGTATCGGGAGCACACATGTAACCTGGCTTTGGGTGGATTTTGATGGTGGCAGGCGTGTTTGATGAGCAGAAATGGGGTCTTTCGTTACCCGTGTGTAGTATGATTGTTCTTAAAGAGTGTTGACAATGCTGACGCAGTAAGGTGTATCCATTATTACAGCTACCGTCTCTTTGTCCGCAGGTACTATGGCGATTACTCGGTCTTTCTGAAGTTCTTTGAGGGCTTTAGGTGGGTAATATATTCTGTCTGAGATGTTTTAGGAGGTGCTTGGGTTGAGCTTTAGTTGGTTGA